ACTGTCTCCCAGAGTTTGCTCAAACTCTTGTCTACTGGGTCAGTGATGCCATCTAGCCATCTCATCCTCTGTTGTTGTCTTCTCCCCCGCCCTCAGTCTTTCCCAGCATCAAGTCTTTTCCAGTGAGTCGACTCTTCACATCAGGTGTGATATGACTATTGGAGCTTCAGCATCAGTCCTTCCAGTGAATATTCAGGGTTGATTTCCTTTAAGGTTGACTGGTTTGATTTCCTTACAGTCCAAGGGACTCTCTCACGAGTCTTCCTCAGCCCCACAATTCGAAAGCATCAATTCTTTGGTGCTCAGCCATCTTTATGGTCCAACTTTCACATCCATATATGATCGCTGGAAAAACCATAGCTTTGATTATATGGACCTTTGTTGGCAAAATAATGTCTCTGCTTTTTAATACACTGTCTAGGTTTGTCATAGCTTTTCTTCCAAGGAGCCTTGCCTGATCCTTACTGCAGACGAGGTGTCCCTCCCTTGGGTTCCCATTAGCATTTATCAGCTTTTTAAAATTGCCAGTTTTCTTGGTTTTAGCCAAGCTTTCTTGGGCTTTCCAGGTGGCGCTGGTGGTAAAAGAACCTGCCTGCCAGTGCAGGAGACCTAAGAGATGCGGGTTCGATCCCCTGGAGTAGGAAATGGCAACCCACTCCAGTATTCTCGCCTGGAAAATTCCATGGGCAGAGGAGCCTGGCAGGCCCCAGTCCATCGGGTCACAGAGTCAGACACGACGGATCACACTTGGGCTGAGCTCAGAGAACTGTGTTGACTATGGAATGTGCTCAGCAAGGACCCAGCATCCAGTAGGTGTTTGGGAGGGAATTTTCTGTTCCTTCTTTGCCTGCATAACTGTGTCACAGAGCCGCCCTTGCTGGCAGGGACCCAGCAGAGAGTCTTCCCTGTTATGTTGTGAAACTATTCAAAACCCACAATCTGGTAGCTTTTGAAAATAGCAGAAATCCTGAGAGAAATTGGGCATCAGCTTCCCATGAGAAATGAGTGAACTTCTGCTTTTCTCTCTTACTCTCTCTTTTTTTTTTTAAGTTTGCTAGGAATCTGTGTATGGGTAAGAATCGCAGGATACATTTGTTATAGCAAATGTTTTTATTCACTTAGCTTGGTGAGAATGAGCACAGCAGTGCTTCATGTGACTGAGGGCAGGGGTGAGCTTCCTAGTGCCCTGCTCCCCACCAAAATGCTTGGCTAATTTAATTTATTTTATTACTTTATTTGGCTGTGCCAGGTCTTAGTTGCAGCATACGGAATCTTTAATCTTCAATGAGGCATATGAGACCTTTTCTCTTCAAATTGCAGCATGTGGGATCTAGTTCCCTGAGCAGGGGTCAAACCTGGGCCTCCTGCAATGGGAGTAGGAGGTCTTAGTCACTGGACCACCAGGGAAGTCCCCCAAAAGCTTATTTTAAATAATTATTCTGACCTTATTTCTAAAATGAATAAACAAATTCTCTACTTTTAAGATCCTTTTTTTTTTCCTTTGTTATAAAATTAGCCCACTGGAATTCCGTACCCTCCCAATAGGTCTCTGGGTCAGATTGAGATTTTTCTTGGTGTGTGATGGGTGTGACTGAAGGAAGGAAGGAATGAACGAGTCATGGTTGTCATTGTATGCCCCTGCAGGAGGGTGAGGAAGCAGAGGCCTTCATTCTTTCCCTGAACAGCCTCAGACTGTGGCTCTCGTGTATTTGTGCAGGGCCTCTTTTCTGTTCCTTGCTCTCAGATAACCAGCTTACCCTGTAGCTCCTCATGGTGGGTCAGTCTCAAGCTCCTGTCCACTTTGAGTTTGCTGTTTTTATCTGCTATAGGCTGGGAGAAGGGATCATCCAAGTTGTTTAAGTATCCAAAGTATGATATAATTAGGTCCTCTGGGGCCTTAGCTGTGAACAGTATGTAAAGATCCTCTGAACCCTGACTTCTGTTTGAGCTGCTCCAAGGCACTTAAAATGCTTTCTTCCTGTGTGTCAGCTCCGCTGGCTTCAGCCCCAGGTACATGGCCTGTGAAAGCTGAAAGGGGTCTGTACTTGTTATATCCACCAAAGGGCTTACCAGGGACCCTTGCCAGGCCTCTGGGGACTGGCCCTGAAGGCACAGATGTGAGGACAGCCACATGGGCTGGCGTGGGCATGAGACCGGGGGAAGATTTTGGTGAGACTCACTGGAGATTTTAATACTCAGGTGGACATTTCCTTTTCTTTTTTATCAGAACTAAAATCGTGACTGATCACCACTTCAGCCTTAATAGACAAGTGAGTCAGTGTAGTGTTCCATGTACTTAGGTCTATGGATTAGAGTCTCAGGCCAAATTAAAGGCCTCAGGTGAAAAAAATCTACACACGTCTTTGAGGATTTTTTCACTTTAAACATGGGTGAAATTCTACACTTACCAGCAAAGAGAAGATTTGGTCATCATGACTGATCTGCAACCCCAAACCTGGTTCTTTACAGAGTGTGGAGTCTGGGCTTCCCACGTGGTTAGGTGGGGAGTGGTTAGCTAATTAACTGGGTTAACTAATTTGGGTTAGTGGTTAGGAATTGGTCTTGCAGTGCAGAGGACACCAGTTCCATCCCTGGTCCGGGAAGATTCCACATGCCTCAGAGCAACGAAGCCCATGCACCACAACTGCTGATCCTGGGCACCTTAGACCTGTGCTCTGCAATAAGAGACACCACCTCAGTGAGCAGCCTGAGCACTGCAGCTAGAGAGGAGCCCCCTTCGCCGCGACTAGAGAAAGCTTGCGCACAGCAACAAAGACCCAGCACAGCCAGAATAAATAAAGAATTATTTTGAAAACAGAGTGTGGGATCTGAGTGCTCTGCGGGGACCCCATGGTCCAGTCCATCCTGCCCACCTCCAGCCTGGGAGGTAGGAAGGCGGATGCCCAGCCCCTGGTTGTGAGACTTGACCGTCATGCTGTCATCTCAGGAAAAGCTGTTTTGAGCTGTGTCTCAGTTGAGAGGTATTAGGATGAGGTCACAGGTTACTCTGTATATACCTTACACCCAAGGACCCGAAATGAACCACAGCACTGGTTCTTGGACATGAGTTTGGTTTTCTTCATCCTGGGGTTATTGATGATGCTTTGGAGCATTTTAGCCCAGTGTAAGTGGGTGTTGGCAAGTCTTTCAGGAAAATGATGCTTTTTTTCTGGCATGTCACGTCTCCCCTAAATATCAGTGGTGGTGGTGTTGGTTTAGTCGCTAAGTTGTGTCTAACTCTTGGGACCCCATGGCCTGCCAGCCACCTCCGTCCATGGGATTCTCCAGGCAGGGATACTAGAGTGGGTTGCCATTTCCTTCTCCACTAAACATCAATAGAATAGAGTATATAATGGGAAAGGCAGGAACCTGGAGACCTTCCCACCTGAAAACCACCCTGCAAGGCTGGCTGCGAGGCTGACTACCTCCCTTTCACAGATGTGGAAACTAAGCCTGGGAAACAGAGTACAGCTTGTTGAGATCAGGGGGCCTCCTGGTGAACAAATCAAGTCTGGAGTGTCTATATCCTGACTCTGTTTAAGCGACTGAAACTGATAAGATGAAGGCACACTTAGCCTTGAAAAATGGGATATTTTCTGTCTTATCGGTAGACAAGGATGTCACAGTCATCAGCGATTCCAGCTCTCCAGGGAGAAGAAGGATACCTGCTCCATCTGGCAGAATTCAGGCTGCCGCCACTCCCTGCAGTGAGCACTGAGAAACTCGGGATGTGAAAAACACAGCATACTGGCCCCAGATAGCTTTCATTTCATGCATATGAAAGAAATGATTTCAGTGAGCCCAGACTCTTGCATCTTCCCATACATAGACAAGCACTAAATTCCTTGGGATACCTGGTTTTCTTTAATTCACAAAAATACTTTGGATGTTCAGACTACCTGCCCTTTGTTGCAGACTTCTATATAATCTGACTCCTCCCCTCTCTTCCTCAGAGCAGTTCTCTCAGGGTCACTTGAGATGCTGTCTCCCAGGCTTGAAGTCCTAAAAAGTCTCACCAAATAAAATATAACTCTTCAACTTTTAGGTTGTGGCTATTTTTTAAGTCGACAGCCTCAAGTATAGTGAAAGAGACATGATGTAAAATGATGAAATGTGATTTTTTTGGCCTGGTTGGCAAAGCTGAGGAAGAGCAGTAAAACTGTCTTGGTCTGGGTGTGGGGACTTGGGGCTTGTCATATATTAGTTGTGAGGAAGTAAAATGGCAGAGCCTTTCTGCAGAGCTCTTTGAAAGTGGGAAAACCTTGCAAGGCAAGTTTATCCTAAAGAGGGAAGTACGGATAAAAGAATTAGCCAGAAGATGTTCTTTGTAGTATCATTTAGATTAAAATATCAAAAAGTCAGATCTCTGGAAAGGGAGTAGTTGAATTCATTTGTGGCTTTTGTACAAAGTAAGTAGGAGACCATCAAAAATGATGTGTGTGGTGTCTGGGACTTGCTTTGCAGAGTGCTCCAGCCAGACATTGAAATTGAGAACAAAGGCAGGGGTCGGGGGATGGAACAGACGTTTAAAATGTTGATGATGTGAAGCCGGTGATGAGCAGAGGGTTCACTTTACTCTTCTCCCTCGTGTGTTGGAGATTTTGTGTAGTGGAAGGGAGCGGTTAAGTCCAGTTTTATTTCAGGGTCGACCGAGTATTCCCTGTGGGGATACAAGGGGTTCTCTTCCCTTGTACCTGGCTGACCATACACACTGGAAAGGGATGTTTATATTCACTGATCATCATGGAAAGAGTTTATGATACATCTGAATGGAAAAGGGCCCAAGGAGTGAGGGACAAGAATTCTTATTTGGTTTAAGAAATAAACAAGCCCATATGCAGGAAACAGATTAAGTGTGTACGCCTTAAGTGACCATCACTGGGCAGAGAGCTTTGTTTTTAGCTTGTCTGCTTTCCCCCCCTGCAGCAGGTGTGTGTATATCACTGGTGAAACTTTTCAGACAGCTGAGCTTAGTTAACTGTGTTGCTGTTTTGATCTAGGGAAGAGCATGGAGGAGATTAAGAAGGTGCTGCTGCTGGTTCTCGGCTGTGCCGTCCAGGTAGGGCTCGGGCAGGTGGGTGGAGAGGGCTGCTCTTGTGTTTGGTTTGTGGGGATGCTGCCCCCACTTCTGTGATGTAGGAGGGAAGCTACTTTCAGCCCAGCAGGCCAGAAGGTCGAAGGGTTCCCGTGAGAGACGTGCTAGCATCTTGAGTAGCAACCATTTTTAGCCCCGGGGCATCTTGGGCAAGAGGTCAGGTGGGGATCCCTGGGGCCAGGTGTCCTTAGCAAATTGTCCCCAGTGTCGGAACATCTAGAGCAAGGATCCGCAGGCAGTCTGTGGGCCAAATTTGACTTGCCACCTGTTTTTGTAAACAGTGTCATGGGGACACAGCCATGCTGATTCCTTCACATGGGACCTGTGGCTGCTTGCATCCTATGGCATGAGCTTAGACGGATGGCCTCTCCAGACTAAGATTTTGACCATCTGGCCCTTTACAGATGAAGTTTGCCCCCTCACTGGCCTAAACCAGCTGTTCTTGGTCTTTACTTGTTTAAGAATCCCCTGGAAAGTTTGTTTGTGTACCACCCACTGGTGTTTTTAAAGACAGCACCCCCCCCCCAGGTGATTGTGATACAGGTAGTTTGAGCCACTTACAGAGAAACATCAGTGTGAAGGCTGGTTGGGGAGAGGGGGTGCAGAGCTTTCTTGGTTATAAAAGAAAAAGTCAGGCATGGGCTCCTTTTGAAACTGTATTTCTGTGACTCTGGTGGCCTCAGGTGGCCCTCATTGTTAAATGCTTTCATTAACACTTGTAACACTCCACAGTGTGAGAGGAAAGAGGAATTTATTGAAAGGATCAAACAGCTGGACATTGAGACCCAGGCGGGGATCGTGGCTCATATACAGGAGGTAAGTGGGGGGCTCTGGGGTGGTGCTTAGCTGTGGACCATTGTTCCTGGGTCACCCAGGAGGCAGGCTCTCTTCCCCCCCTAGTGAAAAGGCTAAAGAACACATCACCCGTGAATGATTTTGCTAATTTAAGGTTTCAGACACCACCAACAAATGGATCCTATTTGGAAAGGTAGCTGTCAGCAAGTTAAAATGGGGGTTTGAAACAAAAAAAAAAAAAATTTTTTTTTTTTAAACTTCAATCAAGTCTTCTTTTGCCTCTTCTTCTTGCCTAATATGGACTCAGACTATTTTTAAGAGCTGTCAAGCAGTTTAGGCTCAGAATTTGATTTACAGTCCCTGAAAATGTATTCTGGCAAATGTCACCCCGTTTCGAATGGCTGATCTTTATGGAGAGAGAGAATCGCTGCTCCTGTCAGTGACATGGCAGAGAAACAACTGCCACCCCTTGGGAAGTTGGAAACCAGCGAGTGTCAGAAGGGCTGTCTCCGGACACTCAGCCCCCCTGGGCGGGGTTGGGGGGCAGGGCTCTGCACTGAGGGCAGCCCCTGTGCCGCTGACCTTGGCAGAGGTGGTATCAACTTAGGGGGACAGTTTTCCTGGAAACTGAGCCCCCCCCCTGAAACTTAACTGCCCTGACCTCCACCCCACCCTCCTGCAAAAGAAGCCTTGTGTGTTTTAATTATCTTAGGAGATACAGTTCAGCCTTCCATCTAATTGGACAGCTGAGATAAATGCATGGAAAATACATGAGCAGAAGCACGTAGGAGCAGGTGTGTGACTGGCAGAGGCAGCTGAACATGGAGCTCCGCTCACCAGCTCTGGGTGGGGGTAGTGCAGCTGCCGGGCTTCCACAGCCGGCCAGGGCACTGTGGGTGGTGAGCTCCGAGTCAGGATTTGAATGCAGGAGATGCGGCTTGTTGTGGGAAGGACGACCGGCAGAGCCAGTCAAGTGTTCTGGGAAATATTCTCAGCCATTCGTGTCAGTGACCTGCTAGCCATAGAACCATTCTGCCTTTTGATTTCCCTGGTGTGTCTCTGTGTTTTGAAACTCTATCTGGGGGCTGGGTCCTGGAGACTAGCTAGGACTTTGCCGCTCACTGTCTCCCCCATTCCACCAGCAGGATATTAAAAGATAAAAAGGTATGCGCCCAGAAAGAAGTCCTGCATGATTATCAAAGTCGGTGGCTCGCCTGGGGACTGGGTTTTGAAGTTAGTCGGGTGTTTCTTAAACATTTAGGTGCCCGGGCCTCACGGGAAACCTAGTGTCACAATGGGGAGGAGAGACATAAGCCTTTCATTACAAGCTCCTGGGGTTACTGGTGTGCAACTGCGGTTGTACCCCGGAACCCCCTTTACAGAGGCCTTTCCATAGCCCTGGTATGGAGCAGGCCTGGAACCCAGCCTCTAAATCCCAGTTCATGCCTTTAGGATGCCCTGAACAATGGGGTGAGATTCCTCCTCATTCTCTGAAATTTGCTGAATCCCCATTTTTTAAAATTTATTTGGCTGTGCTATGTCTTCGTCGTGACATCCAAATCTTGATGGCAGCATGTGGAATCTAGTTCTCTGAACAGGGATGGAACCCAGGCCCCCTGCATTGGGAGCTCAGAGTCTTAGCCACTGGACCAGGGAAATCCCCAAATTTTCCTTGTAAGGTGGGGAGGGGTAAGAAAGCGGGTGTCTTTTAAGAAACTGAAGGGTTCTGTCTTTGTTTTTTGTTGTTATTTGTGTTTGAACCATTCTTTCTTTCTCTTTGCTACTGAAAACTTTAAATACTTGGTGTGCCTCTCTGAGTGGATAATCCCTGGTTTCTTTTTGTTTTCTCCCTGTTGAGGCTTGAGTGTGCTAATACTCACTTTTCTAAATGGAGAGAGTGGGCTCTCAAAATAGATCTTCTGCCTCCTTTGGCAGGTCTGGGGGTGTCGGGTTGAGAAGGTCAGGTCAGCAGAGTAGTTGAAGGTTGAAGAGGCTGCCCAGTGTAGGGCTGGCTGTGGGTTTCCACTCATACCTGACAGAAAGGGAAAAACCACCAATCTTACGTGGCCTGTGGGGACGGGACACAGGCTTGCCTGAAAATTGTTTTGTTTTTTGTGACTGCCCCATGCAGCATGTGGGATCTTAGTTCCCCAACCAGGGCTCCAACCTATGCCCCTTGCAATGGAAGCACAGAGTCTTAACTACTAGACTGCCAGGGAGGTTCCCCCCCAGACACCCCCCCCCCCGCCCCCGCACCACCAACAAATTGTTTTAAATTAGGAAATATTTCCCAAAAAGCAATGTAAGACTGTTACATACCCAACATTCTAATGTAAGATTTTTAACATTTGCTGTATTCGTATTAGATTGTAAGAAATAACACACTGTTCTCTTTATCCCTGGCATCCCTGGGACTTACTTTCTTTGTGTTGTAAATTGATGCTACAATAAGAATATCTGAGGATGGTTTCTGTTAGGGAAGTTCTTCTGAGTTGTACAGTGTGCTGTTATTTAAAAATAAAAAGATCCATGTCCTCCCGGAGTGGGTGTTGAGAGCAGGCCTGACTCGCTAGTGGAGTTTGGCTAAGGGCCGTCTGCACAGACTGGAGATACCCGCTGCCAGCCAGAAATTGGTCTGGAGGACCAGTCAGCGGGGGCCTTGCCCCCCGGTCACGGGGAGGGGATGCTCCTGGGACTCCCGGCTGTGCCCTGCCCGCCCTCTGCAGCACCTGACCTGTGCCCGCAGGTAACCCAGAACCAGGAGAACGTGTTCGACCTGCAGTGGCTGGAGCTCCCGGACGTGGCCCCAGAGGAGCTGGAGGCCCTGTCTCGGAACATGGTCTTTCACCTGCGGCGGCTCATCGACGAGCGGGACGAGTGCACGGAGGTGCGTCTGCGGGTGGCCTGGCGGGTCCAGGAGGGACAGCTCCTCGTCCTGACGCTTCATCTCCAACCTGAGGCCCCCCTGGTCCTCTCTCTGGATTTTGGTGGGGATGGGAGGCAGGGGGGGGGCTTGCCCTGCAGTGAATGAACGGCCACCTCTGAGACCCCCATGCGCAGGGTGACGTTCCCAAAGCGCAGAGCTCCGAGCCCCTCCTGGTTTCTGCCCTACTCGATATTTTGTCTCTTTTCGAAAACGTACATCCCGTGTCTCCTGCTTCCTCCGGGTTTCTGGTTCCCGGCCAGCTCCTCTTGTCTGTAGACCGTTGTGCACCGAGTTCAGGCGTAAGCTCTCCCTTCCCTCTCCCACCCCCCTCTGCAGCTGATCGTGGACCTCACCCAGGAGCGGGACTACCTCCAGGCGCAGCACCCCCCCAGCCCCCTCAAGTCCTCCAGCGCCGAGTCCACCCCCAGCCCCACCAGCAGCCTCTCCAGCGAGGACAAGCAGCACCTGGCCGTGGAGCTGGCGGACACCAAGGCCAGGCTGCGCCGCGTCAGGCAGGAGCTGTGAGTCCCCCGCTCAGCTGAGCTGTTGGTTCTGCTCTTGTGCCGTGGGCTGCGGACACATGTTTCTATCAGCTTGTGTGGTGCGGGGAGCAGGAGGGCTCTGACTCCAAGCTGAGCACCCTCAGCTAGCCTCCCGGGGCCAGCACGAGGCGGGGTTCTCCCAAGAGGTTAGGGCTCCCGCCAGTCCACACCCAGGCCCCCTCTGGATTCAGGTGACCACACACTGGTATGGTTTGGGGCTGGAGAGGGGGTGTGGCTTGCCCCGTCTGGTGAGCCTGTTCCCCTTTCCTGCAGCGAGGGAATGCCACTTTGCCCATCGTCTCGGAGGCTGCCTGCCTCTCACCAATGGGCGCTGCTGCCTGCCTGGCAGTGAGGTGGTGCCGCTGTGCCCAGCATCTCCTTAACGTTCTGTACCCTCTGAGGGAAGCCCCCTGGGTGCCCAATGGAGGTAGTTTGAGAGTGGTGGGCATTGTAAACCAAAAAATGGAAAAGAATGGAAATCAGGAACATTTTTGCAAACATCACATGCCAGTTTCACCCCTCCACCCCGCCAGAAACCCAGTTCCCTTTCCTTCTCCTGCTGGGGTCTCGCGGGGTGGTGGGCTGCGTGCCCAGCAGGCCCTCTCACCATTTTCTGGTCGCTCTGATCACCCCCCAGGGAGGAGAAGACAGAGCAGCTCGTGGACACCAGGCATGAGGTGGATCAGCTGGTGCTGGAGCTGCAGAAGGTTAAGCAGGAGGTGAGCGGGAAGGTGTGTGTGCGCGCGCATGTGTGGTGTGTATGCGCGCATGTGTGGTTTGTGTGCGTGCCGAGAGGGCAGGGTGGCTGGGACGCCCCAGTAACTGTGGCCCGGGGGTTCAGGAATACAGCACTGGGAGCTCCCAGCAAAGGCTGCTTTCCTTCCCACTCAAAGTGACACTGCCGAGAGCCGGTCGTCCTGAGAACAGCTGTGGGGGTGACCGTTTCTTAGTGGCAGCAGGTGGGCCCCCCACGCGGTGGCCTGCAAGGAGCGCCCCTCGGCCACCGGGATGTCCTGGAGACGCCGCACTTCAGAGCCGTGGCCGTGTCTTCCCTCCCCAGAGGGGCGCCCCCACACCAGGCTCCCCTGTCTTTGCCCGTCTCCCAGAACATCCAGCTGGCGGCGGACGCACGGTCCGCTCGCGCCTACCGGGACGAGCTGGACTCGCTGAGGGAGAAGGCGAACCGCGTGGAGAGGCTGGAGATGGAGCTGACGCGCTGCCGGGAGAAGCTGCACGACGTGGACTTCTACAAGGCCCGCATGGAGGTAGGCGCCCAGCCTCGGGGTGGGCTCGCTGGGCCTGTCCTCGGAAGGACCTGCCGATTCTCTGTCCTGGTGGTTTGGGGATGAGGAGCCAGCAGGTTTCGGCAGCTGGCGCCGTCCCTGCCCCTCACCCGCCTGTTCCTCCCCAGGGGCCTCCCGCTCTGCTTCTCCATCTCGAGGTATCAGACGGGCTTCTTTCTTTCTCTGACATCACGTCACAGTGATGGGCTTCGGTTCACCTGTCTTCTTTTTTTTAGACTTCTTGCAGTTTCTATGGCTAAACCTTGCCAAGGCCAACCCCTTTCGCATCTATAAAGTAGAGATAATGGTGCTACTTCATGAGGCTTCTAAGATGAAAGAGGTGAAATGCCTCGTGTTTTGAGCAAATGCCATAGTAAGCCCTCCATGGTGAGCCCTCCTTTGATACCCAGGCTGTGGGGAGCTGCAAGGGAGGGTGTTGGGACTGAAGGGGGAACAGAGACCAGGATCCAGGGGGAGTCACTGATGCTTTGACCTCCCACCCTTCACCCTTCTGTGTTCCATCAGCAGCAGCTTCCAGAACCCTCTTTTCTGAGAATTGAGGGGTTTTGCCCCCACGTTAAATCTTGGAGTTTAGAGGTGGTTTTAATGAGCCGGGGCTTCCCTGGTGGCTCAGGCAGTAAAGAATCTGCCTGCAATGCGGGAGACCTGAGTTTGATTCCCTGGGTGGGGAAGATCCCTTGGAGAAGGGAATGGCAACCCAGTCCAGTGTTCTTGCCTGGAGAATTCCACGGACAGAGGAGCCTGGCAGGGTACAGCCCTTGGGGTTGCAATGTGTCAGACATGACTGAGCAACTAACTCTTTAATGAGCAGGGTGAGACCTGAGTGTCCACGCATACGGAAAGGTCCTCAAGTCTTTTCTTGCCGGCTAGGAGGCTTCCGAGAGACTGAACATAGGTCTCAGGGGACGGTGTTGCCCTCTCTCTGCCCACGGCCTCCTGCCGAGCTGCTGGCTAGCGTGCGTGGGGACGGCTGTTTGACCCCAACCTGCTCTACCACGTAGACAGGCCCTGGGGTCCCTGGGGCGAGTGGAAGTGGGATGGAGAAGCCTGTGGTCCAGGGCCCATTTGCTCCTCAGGCCTACTCGGGGAGTGTCTGTTCCCTGAGGACTGTCGGTGACTCGGGGCAGACACTGGGTGCTCCGGGAAGGCAACCCTGGCCCCACTGAGGGTGTGGGTGGGAAACCATCTCTGGGCTTTGTCCTGAGATGGTCCACCGGCCCTGCTGAGTTTGAAACGGGTGAATCCCAGCACAGACAGGTTCCAGGACACATCGCAGGGCTCCCACGGCTGGCTGTACGTGCCGCCCTCTGGAGAGCCGGGGACAATCATATGCGAGTTTCCCCCGACTACTGCCCCAGCAGCCCGTCCAGCCCCGCCTGCACCGGGGGTCCTCACACAGCCCCCGAGTGGGATCACAGACAGTGCAGTTCCCACAGCTCACCCTGACAGCCATCCTCGGAGGGAGTGGGTTTCAGTGTCCTTTCTTTAGACTCTGTTCATTCCTGGCGAAGTGCAAGCAACTCCGCTCAGTCGGGCAGACACAGGGGCTCGGCGCCTGCGTGGGACTAAGCCCTGCACCAGGAGCAGGGGATATGGGCACAGATGAGACTTGCTCCGTGCGTTCAGGGTGCTTCCTGCCTTTGGGGGGTGGTTTCACATGGGAACCCTTTTTCCCTATTCTCAAATGTTACGCCTCTGTGTGGCGGCAGCAGTGTTTTCCATTTTGCTTTATAATTTGTTTACGTCTGTGCTGGGTCTTCACTGCTGCATGGGGGCAACTCATTCATTAATTGCCGTGCAGGGGCTTCTCATTGCAGTGGCTTCTCTTGTGGCGGATCATGGGCTCTGCGGTGCTTGAGCTCCGTAGTCTCCCTGCGTGGGCTCGACTGTTGCGACTCCCAGGCTCTACAAGCTCAGAGGTTGTGGCGCATGAGCGAGCTTAGCTGCTCCACGGCCTGTGGGATCTTCCCAGATCAGGGATTGAATCCACGTCTCCTGCATTGGCAGGCAGATTCTTTACCACGGAGCCACCAGGGAAGCCCCAGTGTTTTCATTACTGATGAATGACTTTCATAGTAAAGTTACCATGCAGTTAGCAATGCCTCAAATTATGCATGCATTCATTGTCACAAGAAAAAGTCCTGTAGTGTCTGTGTAGGATGCTTCTTGGGTGGACAGGCAGTGACGCACGTGAGTCTGCAGACACTTTGCAGCCGAGGCTGGCTGGCGATTGGGCTTGGTCCAGGGAGTCCAGGCTGCTAGAGAGACGATGAGCCGTGCTCTTCTGGGATGCCCATAATGTTGGCATCTCGAGAACGGAGAAAAAGAGCACCTGTGCATGCCTCCTTTGATTGGAGTCGATGCAGTGGCCTTGCGCTCCATGTGCAGACCTGCCATCTGCCGTGCATGGCCAGACACTTCGTGTGGACCCTGAGCCCTAAGGACAGGGCCTGGCTCTTACCTGACTGCATGCCCAGGGCCTGGCACACACAGAGAACTTGGAAATCGCTGCGCAAGGCAAGTAAAAAACCATTGTTCAGTAATGAACAGACTTGTGGTCTGGGGAGAAGGATGGACAAGAAGCGTGAGTCTTTGTCTCTTCTGAAACAAGGCAGCATTAGGTGTGATGGGCAGCAGGGCAAAGACAGGCACGTGGTCATGCTGTCCAGCCAGCTCACGTCTGTAGACAGCCGCCATGCGAGGGGCACGCTTCTCTGCATCCAGGGGGAGCGACAGGCCGCCCAGCTGCCCTCCCCTGGCGTGTGTCTAGTCTCACCACTGAGAAATGGCTAGACATCGCGGAAGAGAGAGTGTGTTAGTGCCACGTGGGAGGAAGCATAAAGAACTGGAGTTCAGGGCGAGGGCAAGGTCAGTTTTGGTTAGAATAATATGGAACACAAATTTCCATGTTTTGTTTTTCAACTTCTGCCCGCTTTTATGTGGGTCTGTGGTGGCTCAGATAATAAAGAATCTGCCTGCAGGGCAGGAGACCTGGGTTGGGAAGATCCCCTAGAGAAGGGAGTGGCAACCCACTCCAATATTCTTGCCTGGAGAATCCCATGGACATCGGAGCCTGGTGGGCTGCAGTCCTTGGGGTCTCAACCAGTTGGACATGGACTGAGTGACTAAACAGCAATATGGAACACAAATTTCCGTGTTTTGTTTTTCAGCTTCTGTTAGCTGTTATGTAGGTCCTAGTCTATTTATGTCAGGATTAAAACAGCAAGGAGAGGAGTGCGCCCTAGGTGCAGTGGGGCGTGTGGGGTAGATGCACAGGGCGACCCTTGAGTTGCTTTTGCAAAGGGTGGTGGCACCTCACTGCCGTCAGGGCACAGGGGTTGCTGTCCAGAGGTCCACGTGGGAGGAGGACAGAGGCAGAAAGATTGCCGGGGAGATTCCTGTTGTCCCATGTTTCATTGTCTGAAACCCCCTATCGCAAGGACGGATGAATAGTGCCATGTGTGTCTGAGCAGGGTGAAAACCAGGCAGGCCTGTCTCCACTCCTCTCAGATGTGTAGCTTCCTGGTCTGTGCTGACTCTGAAATGAACAGTAGCTTGAGAGGCGGAGACATTGTGCCCAGCTAGGACAGCTGCCACCTCACCTTGCTGGTTGTTGATGAGCAAGTCTTGTCCCCATGCAGGGGACTAAGATCACCTTACGAGGGCAGACCCTCTGTTCCCATTGGGACACTGTTTCCTAATGACTTCTGGGAGTTGTGCTAAAGTCTGGTGCATGGAAGAAGTTAGCGTAGGACAGACCCGATGCCTGCTTTATGATTCAGCCCCCCAGGCTCCTGAGTCGGGCGACATCTAAAAGCAGGCAGGTCCTCGGTGAAGCCTCAGGCGCTCCAGTGGAATGGGGTGGGTGGGCAGAGATTAGTAAGGGGTGGTCCTTCATGAGTGGGAGGCCGCTGCTTGCCCCAAGTAGGGTAACCCAGGGCTCCCTCCCCTGTGGACCCCTTGGGGCTGGCTCTGGACATCTTAGGGATCCGTTGGGTGCTTAGGGATCCATTGGGTGGTCCTGAGGGCAGTGGGCAGGAGCTGGTAGTTGCTTTGATTTTTACCCCTCCTTCTGGATTTTGGTGCTTTTTGGGAGGGGGGACATAAGGCATCCCTGAAACAACTGTTAGCTTGATGCTGGTGATGCTCAGTGAGTACCGGCCTGAACAGTGTCTCACAGGGGCATAAAGAGACGGTAATCAGCAGCCAGCCTGCTTCCTGGGCCCCAGACGCCGTGCACAGACCATTTCGCGTGCCTTATCCCATCCGACCCCTACCTCAGCCCTGTTCTATGTCCAGCAGAGGAAGGTGGGATCCACGGTGAGAAAAAGGTGTCTGCTCCAGGCCCCACGGCTGGCAGCGCACGCGGCGGACCTGGGACCTGAGCCGGCAGCCCACGTTGCTGGTCACCTCACAGACGGGCAGGGGCAGCTCTCGAGCCACGTGGGGACCGACCGTCAGGCCTGGACTGTGACTTCCTAAACGTGGCCCCTCAGCTGTTTGCCGGGCTGGGTTAGCCCTTCAATGGCCGCCTGCTTCACCTGGGGTCATGGCCTCAGGAGCGGGCTGGCCTCGAGAGCTGCCCCAGAGGTGGGGAGGCGGGCGTCTGCCTGGGGGCCGAGTCCTGGGCTCTGTGGGAGCGTGGGCTTAGCTTCTTGCAGGCTTCTCACTTCTGAGGTGAGGACGTGTGCAGGACTGGTTATTTCTGTCGTCTAATGTATGGTTGAGTGGTTACCACCAGGAAATTGAGACATTTTTGAGTAGTAGTTAGAAGTTATCCTGTATCGTATTCTGTTACCCTGCTCACCCTTGTTTATCCCTGCCTGTCAGAAATCGAGGCCCCCTTGAATGCCATCTGTGATCCCCCCTCACAGCATGATTCAGCTGACAGGTGTTTAGTGAATATTCCTGTGAGGCCCACAAGAGCAGAAGTGGAATAGGCCTGCCCTGAGGAGTCCACAGCCTGGGGGAGGAGGACAGGCCAGCACACCATTGTCTCACAGTATACCCAGGGTGCTCTGGGAGCCCAGGTAGCTGACTCAACCAGTGGGACAGTGGGAATCTGCAAGCACTTCTCAAAAGGGGCAGCTCAGGCTGGGCTTTGGGGGTTGAATAGGAGTTTGTTGTGAGGATGAAAGGATGGCCTGTGTTTTGGAACTCAGGGCTGGGAGTGCTGGTGGGCAGACCTGTTGGAATACAGGTGTGAACAGTGGAGGCGGTGATCAGAGAGGAGGACCAGGTCTTCTTCCTGCTTGAAACCCCTCTTTTGCTGTGCCTCACACTGTTTTTGGTAGTCTGAGCCTCTTACCCACATGAGCCCCTTGAGGATGGGTTGCAGGCAGTCTCAGCTCTCTGGCCCATGTTCAAATCCCAGTTTTACCCCTTGCTGGCTTTATGATTTGGGGTTTATTCCTTAATTTACCCAAATCGGCCTCTTTCTCCATAGGAAGGCACTGTTCTGCCTCCCCCTCCAGGCTATGGTGAAGAGTGAGTGGGGCGGGGGCAGGGAGCCCCTGGTGCGGGGCTGGCCACATGGTGGATGTCATCTCCAGCAGAGAGGGTGCCCAGGGGAATTTAGAGCTTTAATGGTTATACCTTTTATGGCTGTCAGGCTTTGATCAGAACCGTGTCCGCTGACCGGAAGGCTTGCAGTTTCCCCTCTACCAGGAATCTTGGATTCTGGCCTGTGCAGGGCGAGTGGACGTGCAGTGGATAACACAGCTCCTGGCCCAGCTCTCAGTGGTTAGAATCCACTCGCGGGGCCAGCCTCAGAACACTGCCCACCAGGAGAAACACTCCCTGTGTGCATGTTCGTGAGATGAAAGCATTCAGGGGACTCCTGGGCTCCCCGAGATGCTGAGTGGTGCTGGGCTGCATGATGGACTGCTCTGCCAGGGGGCAGCCGTAGTATTCCACACCCAGCATGTGCCTGGAACTTATTTGTGGGGTTCACGTGTGTTTGTGACTTCACTGTCTTAAAGACTCCCCTTTTCCAGGAAATGGCTGAGAACGGTTGTTTTTCCAAGAGCATATGTGTAAAATGCTTACATACAAGCTGTTGATTGAATGAAAGAACAGCTTCCCTAACACCCTGATCAATGGAATGAATGTTGAGCTGAGAGGATTAGACTTAGCCCTTGAACTGGAACAGATTCTTAACCCCACTCCTTCCTTGTTAAAGAAATGGAGGCTCAGCGAAGTCCTGGAGCTGTCATTGGAGTCCACTTGTCCAGCTAGACAAGGTTGTATACATCATATGCCTGTGCTCTGTGGCTGGCATAGAAAGTGTTACCTTCCTGGATTGATTTCATTTATTACTATTTTTTAACTGGAGTAGAATTGCTTTACAATGTTGTGTTAGTTTCTGCTGAACAACAGAGTGAATCAGCTATTAAGTATCCGTGTATCCCCTCCCTCTTGGACTTCCCTCCCACTCACACATCCCACCCCTCAGGGTAATCACAGAGCACCAAGCCAAGCTCCCTGTGCTATGTAGTAACTTCCCTCTAGCTCTCTATTTTACACTGGGTAGTGTGTATATTGGGCGTCCCTGGTGGTTCAGCGGCAAAGAATCCGCCTGCCAAGCAGAAGATCTGGGTTCTATCCCACACTGTGGGATCGTGTGGCCCAGTTCGGTTGGGAAGATCCCCTGGAGACGGAAGCAGCAACCCACTCCAGTGTTCTTGCCTGAAGGACCCCTTGGACAGAGGAGCGTGGCAGACTACAGTCCATGAGGTTGCAAAAGAGCTGGACACAACTTAGTGACTAAGCAACAGTGTGTGCATATGTCAGATAACTCACAGATATTTTCCTTCAGTCAAGAAAGTCCATGTGGCCTGACCTAATGAAAAAGGTGGAGATGCTCAAAAGTGGGGACAGAACTGTCTCGAGGCAGCAGCCTTTCCCCTGGATTGTTTGTTTTGGTCCAGGGACCTGGACGAGCTGTCGTCACGAAGCTAGTACCTTTATCTGATGGTTCTCCTGTGTGTTTTTGCTGCTCAGGAGCTGAGAGAAGATAATATCATTTTAATTGAAACCAAGGCCATGCTGGAGGAACAGCTGACGGCTGCTCGGGCCCGGGGTGATAAAGTTCACGAGCTGGAGAAAGAGAACCTGCAGCTGAAATCGAAGCTTCACGACCTGGAATTGGTATTGCAGGCTGTCCACACAGACCTGTCTAAACAGATTGGGGTGGTTTCGGGTTGTGCCATGCCCTTCTCTGATTTTTCCGTCACTGGTTTTGGTGCCGCTGCTGACACGGTAACTCGCTGACTGCGGAGAGTAGCTGGCTCAGCTCAGCAACTGGGGTGGGCCCCGCTGGGCGCCCACAGACAGACAGGGCGAGACCACCATGCTGGACCGCTCACGTATGGATGAGCTCATGTGTGTGTCTTTTGCAAGAAGAGCCTCTCTGCTGGCTTTTATGGTGAGGTGTGAGCTGAGGTCCCTGAGTTCCTTTCCAGGCTTCTCAAAGCATGTTAGGTGCCCTGGAGCCATGAAGCCGCCTGTCACCAGGGTACTTGCTCTAAAGCCCTGGGCCATAAGTCACTTTGTTCAGACAGCGTTTAGTTAGAGACCTGGGCACGCTCATCACCCTCCGTTGCTAGTCATTGTATCTTTCAGTGGCCCTAACTCTGAGCTGGGCCCTGGGCTAGACTCATTTGTCTTCGGGGAAGCGAGCAGGAGCCTAGAAGTCCTTCCATTCTTCAGGAATGGGCAGGGGGGTTGGATACACGGGGGCCAGGACCTGTCCAGAGGGGTCCCCCGGCCACGTTCTCACTCCGTCTTTTCTTCCCGCCCTAGGACCGGGACACGGATAAGAAGCGAATAGAGGAGCTGCTGGAGGAGAACATGGTCCTGGAGATTGCTCAGAAGCAGAGCATGAACGAGTCTGCCCACCTCGGCTGGGAGCTGGAGCAGCTGTCCAAGAACGCAGACCTGTCAGACGGTAGGGGGCGCCCGGTGCTCAGGAGCCGGCCAGCCCGCAGCCGCTTCCTCATCCAGGGAGCGGAGCCCTGGGCTCTAAATCTTCCGTCAGGCCATCCATTCACCCCGAGTAAATAGGATTTCCTTCAAGTGCCATTTGGAACTGTTTCATTACCCTTCTCCCCAAGGAGAGCAGGAGGGGTCTGGCAGCCTTGATGTCAGGACATGAAACACAAATTAAGTGTTGCCAGGTTTCCCAGTTCCCATATGGACAGTCCCAGGAGCTTGCAGATTACCGCGCGCTGACACCCGGAGGGCATCAGAGACCTATCTGTGGACGGTTGAAAGCCCTGGATGGCAGGAGACATCCCCAGTGGTCACTCATCCCCGCTATGAATGTACCCTGGGCAGTATTTTCCCGTTCATTTGCATAATTGAGCAAGACAGATGCAGTCTGTTCTCTGTCTCCCCGGGTGGGGGCTGCTAAGTGGCTGCTTCTCCCAGGACCCAGGCCTCTTCTGGCTTGCTCCGCTGCCCCTGCTCGAAACAGACGGGGCATCTCGGCCAGGGGAAGGTGGGTGGGGCAGCGGTCAGCACTGCGGCGGGAAGCTTCGGCGCCCAGCAAACAATAAGCCAGTTCCTGTGTTCAGAAATAGCACATGTGCCTGTGATGGAGCGAGTTATTGTTTACTTAGGGCTGTGCAGAGCGAGGTAGGGCTTTCTCCTGGTCTGGGAGTCGCTTTTTTCAATTCTCAAAAGCATGGCCCCAAACAATGGAAAGTTTGTTCAACGTAGCTGGAAAACATCTTTTCTTCAACGGGTGTCCCATCAGCTCCAAACCAAACATCAGTTTGGTAAACTACCAGCCAGTGAGGGGAGTTAGTTTTATCTGTGCTTTGGGGCCTGTACCCTGTGCTGGGGACTGAGGGTGGGATCACCCCGATTCCTGGCCCTGGGAGGAGAGTAGGTCTATTGGGGAGGATCACTGCCCCCTGGTGGTGTAGGCTGCCAGGGACAGTCCCAGACCTAATGAGAGTGTTTCACTATGAGACCACAGTGGCCTGTGGGTTTGGAAAGCCTTGATCCTTCAGACGACTACTCAGTATCGTGTATAAGCCCTTTCAGGTCAGTGAGCATGATTTATTCTCGATGTTCCCAACTCCTAGTGCTTAGCTGGGAGCTACTGAACATTGGCTTGAATGAAGCCATAATGCAAGCAGAGCCTGAATGCACTTTTTCATGTGGTGTGGTGGCTTCTTGAGTCAAGAAAGACCTGGCTTAAAGTCCCGGCTCCTCCGCTTGTTAGCTGGGTGACCTCTTTTAGAACTCAATTTCCTTATCTGCAAAGTGGAGATAACAAAGCTGCCTCACAGGAGGCGACGGTGAAGCATGATGCCTTACCTGGCCCACGGGCACAGTAAAGGATGCTATTCTTACGGCCACTGTCTCACTAAAATAGATCCCATTACTCTGATTGCTTGGGTGCTAATGAGCATAGCACTCAGTAATGAGCTGTTGTGTCATCGTGATCATCTCTGAAGCACTGGCTTTTATGGAAGAGGGAAGGAGGCTTGTGGTCAGCCGTGTTGTTGAAGTTGTAGAACCTTAGAAATTATTCCCCATGGGTACAGAGTTTCAGTCTGGGATGATGAAAAGGTGTGGAGGTGGATAGTAAAGATGGTTGCGCATCAATGGGAATGCATCTAATGCTACAGAAGGGTGAATTTTATGTTATAATATTTTACCCCAATAGAAAATGTTCATTTTTCACAAATGCCATGGTAGCATCCAAATGATCAGAGGCTCTGAATTAATGGAGTTTCAGTTGAGGTTTGTTTGTAGCATAGTTTTCATGTGTGGCGAGCACATGTGCTTCTGTGTGTCAGCGCTGGACCTGGGCTGCAGACCTGTGTCCACCTCCCCTGCTGTGCTGCCTGTTGTTGCTTGGGGTCTTGAGGACGTTCAGGCTGGTGGGTTCTGAACTGCTGTTCTTGGTGGAGGATGAGAACTCAGAGAGGGTGACAGATGCCTCTTAGACCTTAGGATATCTGCCCAGAGGATCTGAACACACACACTCGTGTCTGGTTCGATGTGCTCACTGTGGAAGCCTTCGTGCTGCATGTATCCTTGCCCCTGGGGGTGATGAGTGAGAAGCAGGTAAGGGTGCAGCCCTCTTTTCACATCAGGCTCCCAGAGCTGAGTCCGTGACACTGTTGGAACAAGTGAGGACAGTACAACCCCAGCCCTTTCTTTCGAGAGCTTTCGTTCACGTTCATTTCTCCTCCTGAATAAGTCCCATGACTTACCTAAAGTCTTGCACTTGCTGGTGGCAGGAAGGAGCTGAGAACTCCCATTCCTCCACACTGCGCCCCCTTTCTCCATATGCATTTGAGCTATTTGAAAGGAACCAGCTAAGGGGTCCCCAGCCCCCAGGTCACGGACTAGTACTAGTCCCCGTCCCCTCTCTCACCCTGGCCTGTGGAAGAATTGTCTTCCATGAAACCAGTCCCCGCTGCCAAAAAGGTTGGGGACTGCTGGAATAAATAATCTTCCTCTTTCTATCTTTAGCTCGTATTTTCATCACTTTTAGGTTTTTTTTTTTAGAAAACAACCAAATATTTGAAAATGAATTACTATACCCTTAAGAAACCCCTCAGTCAAAGAAAATAATCAAATAGGGATTAGGAAACAACTGAATCATACATAGAAAATTTGTACTATGGGTATATCAGTTTCTGGAAGGAAACTTATACTAGAAATACTAGAAAAGTAAAATTAATAATGTTTGCATTAATTTTCTTTTTTGTACTTACAAAGAGTGAGATTTATTTTTTAAATTTTTATTGGCATGTAGTTGCTTTCCAATGTTGTGATAGTTTCTGCTGTACAACACAGTAAATCAGCTATCCGTATACATATATCCCCCCCTCTTTTAGATTTCCTTCTTACACTTAGAATTTTTATTTTTATTTTTTTTTTCCATTTATTTTTATTAGTTGGAGGCTAATTACTTTACAGTGTTGTAGTTTTTGCCATACATTGACATGAATCAGCCATACTTAGAATTTTTAAAGCAATTTACATACACTCTCGCGTTTCTTGTCCCAGTGTAATCGTGAAATTACAAAATGAAATCTCCGTTCAGGGGACCTTATCCAGGGACGGCAAGTACTGGGCATACGTACCCACGGAGCCTTCTGCCACCGGTGGCAGACATAACTAGTTGATTACCGTGCCCCTCCTGCTGAGCCACCCAGACCACCGTTGCTCTCAGAGCTGGCATGGAAAATGTTGTCTATTTCCCATCTCGGTTAGTTTCTAAGATCCTTGAGTTGTATGGTCATGTGAGCCGCTTGGTAAAAAATGGTTCCCAGCAGTTGACACGATCTTTAACTTTTCCATTGGCGTCTTCGCTGTAACCTGCTTTCCTCTGAAGCTCTGGGCCCAGCTGAGCCAGCAAAGGGCTGTCACTGTCGGGGGGACTTTCAGGCACTAACTGTGACAGTACCATGTGAAATGGAGGGGACCCCCCAGCCGGGCCCTGGGACCCCCTTCCCGGCCCCTGAAGCCACGGCATGGGGCGCCCGATGCCCCTGGCTCGCGGCTGGAGCCCGGAGCTGACTCGGCTGTGTGCTTCAGCCTCCAGGAAGTCGTTTGTGTTCGAGCTGAACGAGTGCGCCTCCAGCCGCATCCTGAAGCTGGAGAAGGAGAACCAGAGCCTCCAGAGCACCATCCAGGGGCTGCGGGACGCATCCCTGGCGCTGGAGGAGAGCAGCCTCAAGTGCGGGGAGCTGCAGAAGGAGAACCAGCAGCTCAGCAAGAAGGTAACCCGGCCGGGGGTGGGGCGGATGTGGGCAGGTGGATACCCCTCCCCCAGCCCGGTATGCCGTCTGGAGGCTGCTAGGGAGACAGGTATAAGTGAGGGTGTGCAGCTGGGAGGAGAGCAGAAGCCAGTGCAGCCGCAGTTAATTATAACACAAGAACAAGAGCAGTCATAGAAAGCAGTCAGGAGACAGCGGGGCTTGCGCTTGCACAACCTTGAAGGTGTGACCTCTGTGTGCCTCCTTGTCTTCATCTCTGAAATGGGGTTCATGGGCTTCCCATCTAACACATGTTGCAAGGACTTGATGGGTTAGTGTATGTGAGGGGTCTGGTATGTAATAAGTGCTCAGTGAGAAGAAACCAGTGGACTCTGAAAATAAAAATAAAACCTTAAGATGGGGCATAGGGGAGAGGAAGCAATGATGTAAGACATACACACATATAGGTATGGGGGTTAGGTATGGGGGTTAGGGACCGTTGGTTGATGTTTTGGGGCTCTGCTGATGGTGAACAGGACCAGTGCCCACCCCTCCATCTGGGTTTATGGGATGGAGAAGAGAGGGCCGAACTGCATTTGCCTTTCAGGACAGCTGCTGGGTCTTCCCAGGAGCACGGCAGATCCCAGACATCTGGGAGGGCACACAGCGGCTTACAGACCAGTCTTCGTTCTCTGGTTACAGGGATCCCCATTTGCACCAGGGATTCAGTCTCAGGTGCAGGGAGGGTCATTGAGAGGCTAGGGATGGCTTCCGTGGCTTTGGCCACTCCAGGTCAGAGGGCATCAGTACATCACACTGCTATGGCACAGTCACATTGAAGGCTCTGAGCACAGTAGCTGTCAGCGTCCAGCTGAGGGTGAGAGCGTGAGTGTGCTTGCTTGCTGACCACCATGCAGGCCTGGTGCTTTCAGCTGTCCCACCTGCCCGTGAGTCCTGCCAGCATCATTTACTGAGGCTGCATGGGCAGTGGGAGACACAGGCCACAGGCAGAGACCTAGGCTCTGCTGGACCCTTATCTCTGGGCTAGGCTTGGGTCAGCCCCTCCTCCTATGACTGGGTCTCTGGAGCCCCCTCATGGGACCTCCCAGGCTTGATTACTCACTCTTCTTGTCCCTTTGAAGCCTTGTGTGCCTTGCAGCATGTCAGCCGACAAATATTTTGTCCTGGCTTCGTAGGATGATAGATAACCCCCACCCCACCCATCTCATGCCATGTCTCAACGCAGAACAGCGTGGGGAAGGCAGCTAGACGGTTTAGGTTTTTTAGATTCACATGGGCCTAGCACAGGAGATGTCTTTATAAGTGGCATTTCAACCTCAGCCAAGAGGAAAAGAATCCACCCTTAGAAAGATGAGAACCATCGGCTCCGCAGGTCCTCACGGGTCTGCTGCACAAAGCCCATGATGTAATAGTGCTGGCCCAGCTCCCAGCATGCCTCCAAGATGACCGCTCATGCTTTTCCTAGCCCTCGTGGTCCACGCCGGCCCCGTACCCCTGGACAGAGGAGGTGCAGTGGGTGTGCCCACCTGGCCGTACTCCTCAGCCCCCGTCTCTCGGGTCCCACCCTCCTGCTTCCTCTGGGGTCGGGTCCCTGGTGGGACACCAGCCCTCTCCTGCCACAGTCCTTAAGAGCCAGGGCTTGGCACAGAGTCCCTGGCAGGAGGGAGGTGCCACAGTTCCCAGACCCATGCTGTGGCCGGTGCTGGGAGCCCTGGGAGGCGGCCTTCTGCCCGCCAGAGTACCTCTTGCCATCTTACTTAACCTGCCCTCCATCTGACTGACCCTGTCCTGGCCCAGCATGTGTGGTTTCACGTTCTCCGCGCCGGCCCCCCCCACCGACACACACACACCCCGAGTCCAGTACTGACAGGTGCTCCCTGATGATGGATGGGCAGACACCACAGCCCCGGCTGGAGGACTCACCCCCAGGCCCCCTGGACCCTCATCCGGTTCAGTTTGTCGGAATTTCCTTTCCCCGGCCACAGCCATCCCACCGTCCTGGTCTCCCCATGCAGTGTGTCTGGGCACCAGCTGGCACTTCTCAGTCAATTGGTGAAACCCCAAGCCTAATGGGGGCCAGCCCAGCTCTTGCATTCCCCACCCGGGAGGTCACAGGCCCAGAGGAGCTCAGTGACTTGCCTGAGCCTCACAGTGAGGACACAGCAGGGCTGGAATACACCCCCACAGGTCAACCCCCGCCCCGCTCTCCTCTTTTGAGGACGACTCAGATGCACACCACATCATAGTGTACTTTCCTGTTGGCCCCAGCTGGGCCAGGCTTGCCCGTCCTGGGGTCCCTGGCTTGGGGTGGGGGGCTGAGGTGCTGACAAGGTGATGTGACAACATGACTATGAGGCACGCTCAGCCCAAGTCTCCCTGCTGGTAGGGGAAGAAGTGTGCCTGCTGCTTCCTCCCGTGGAGGCTTGAGAGCTCCCAGACCTGTGAGCCAGAAAGGAAAGGCACCCCCACTCCCCGCCACCTGTGGACAAGTAGACATGTGGTCTGACCCTCAGGACAAGGGACAAGGCCTGAGATGGGAGAAAGGAGGCCCAGGGGCACTTGGGCCCATGGCATCGAGGATGAGGAGAGGTGGGCTGGAAAGAAGCTTACCGATGGTGCCCATGGCCTTTCACTTCTATGAGCTGGAAATGCAAGCCGTGGGCTGGGAGCTGAGAGTCGAGGGTGTCTGGAGGTCCCTTCAGAGCAAGGCCGGGCCGCTTTCCCTCGAGAAAAAGGCCCCATTCAAGTGTTTGGTGGGGCTGACGGGTTTTGAGTTGGTTTTAAGACATAGATCGCTTTGTGAGGCTCACTGCTGCCCATCTGGGTCTTCTGGCTCCACAGATTGAGAAGTTACAGACCCAGCTGGAGAGAGAGAAGCAGAGTAACCAAGATTTGGAGACCCTGAGTGAGGAGCTCATCAAAGAGAAGGAGCAGTTGCAGAGCGACATGGAGACCCTGAAGGCCGACAGAGCCCGGCAGGTAGGTCCTCTGGGAGCCGATGCCTCTTCTGGAGCTCCTGCCTGCAGGAGGGAGAGTAGTCTAGGATTTAGCCATTTTCCGGGACTCTGTAGGAGAAACGCGGGTGACCAGGCACCTGGCTTAGCTGCAGCTCAAACCAGATGCTCTCAGTCAGCGGTGGGGTGGGTGTGCCCCCTCCCTACCCCGGTGGGGATGCTGGCCAAACCTGAAAATGAGTGTCATGATGGGAGGAGAGAGGAGATGCTCTTGGCGTGTGGCGAGCAGAGCTATATGTCCAGCATCACACAGGACAGCCCCGTGTGACTGAGGATGATCCAGCTCCCGGGGTCCATAGCACCATGCTGAGCCCCTGAGGTTTATTGGTGGGAGGCAGTCCAGGGCTGGTGCGGGGGCTCTGTGATGCCGGGCAGGGGCCAGGCTCTCCTCCTCCTCTGCCAGTCTTAGCTGGGGCTGCCGCGTGCCCTCAAGGAATCGGAGAAAGAACTGGAGGGTGAGGAGCAGAGGGGCACCCCCCCACACCCCCCGGGACCCTCTGTTACCTTCACTGGTCACACCCAACACATGACTACCCCCTACCTGCAAGGGGAGGCTGGGGTTTCAAGTATTTGAGTTTTTCAGCCGCTGAGCTGGAGCAAAATAGAGGGATGGGATAGTGCCATGTTTGGTGAAAAGACAGGCAGGGTCACTGGCCGGATGTGGCTTACGTGGAGGGCAGAAGGTGACAAGCCAGGTGATCCCAGGCATGTGCTTTGGAGGGAGTAAATGGAGAGAATCCTGCTGGGTGCAGGCGCTGAGGAGCCGGGGTGCAAGGCTGTCCCTGGGGGGCTGCCACTCATATGCTGAGCCCTGGAGGACGGGGAGGAGTCAGGGATGCTGAAGGCCAGGGGAGGGCCGTCCAGGGCAGAGGGAAGACGGTGTGCAGGGACTGCGGGTGATGAGTGGCCTCGGGAGCCCACAGAGGTGAGCGGCCAGGATGAGCGTACCGAGGCAATCAGTTGCCATCGTTTTCAGTAAGAGGGAGAGATGGGTTTCTGTCTCTACATCTTCCTGGCTGCCCTGAAGGCATTCTAACTTGAACTGTCTTCCTAAGGGTCTCCATGCTCTTTACCTCATGTCCATGCTCGCCCCTAGGAACTTCAGGGATTTTTGTTTTTTCAACTGAACTATAGTTCAGTTCTGGCGCACAGCAGAGTGATTCAGATATACATGTGCATGTGTGCATGCATGGGTCTCTGCTTAGTTGCTTTAGGCATGTCCCACTCTTTGCAACCCCGTGAACTATACCCTGCCAGGTTCCTCTGTCCATGGGATTCTCCAGGTGAGAATACTGGAGTGGGTTGCTCTGCCATCCTCCAGAGGATCTTCCCGACTCAGGGATCGAACCCGGGTCTCCTGCATCTTCTGCATGACAGGCAGATTCTTTACTGCTGAGCCACCAGGGAAGCCTGTATGTGCGGTGTGTGTGTATAAAAAAATATATGTACACATACATGCATATACTTTTTCTATACTCTTTTTCCATTGTAAGCTATTATAAGTTACTGGAGATAGTTCCCTGTGCTGTATAGTAATACTATTAGGACTTCAGCGGGGAATGGTCTTTTAGGGCCTGGGCTTCAGTCACCAGATTAAACCAGACTTCAGCCCCAGAGCACCACAATATGCCTGTGCAACAGTCAATGTCTCTCCCACCGTGTCTTCCCCCAGATCAAGGACCTTGAGCAAGAAAAGGACCATCTCAACCAGGCGGTGTGGACGCTGCGGGAGAGGTCACAGGTCGGCAGCGAGGCCCGCGCCAAGGACGTGGAGCAGGAGAACAAAGCCCTGCACAGGACAGTGGCGGAGACCAGCGGCCGGCTGAGCAGGCTGGAGCTGGAGCAGCAGCAGCTGCAGCGGGCACTGGAGCAGGCGCAGGAGAAGGCGGGCCGGGCCGAGGCACTGGAGCGGGAGCTGGGGCGGCTGGAGGAGGAGAAGGGGCAGCTGGTGCAAAGGGCCAGCGCCCTGCAGGCGGCGGGCGAGCGGGCGGAGGCCGCGGAGCGTGAGAGCCACGGGCTGGCGCTGGAGAACCGGCAGTTGCGCAAGTCCCTGGACGCCCTGCAGAATGTGTCGGTGCAGCTGGCCGGCCTGGAGCGGGACAACCGGCAGCTGGACGAGGAGAATCTGGAGCTGCGCCGGATGGTGGAGGCCATGCGCTTCACGAGCGCCAAGGTGGCCCAGATGGAGCGCGAGAACCAGGAGCTGGAGCGCGAGAAGCAGGAGCTGAGGAAGAGCGTGGAGCTGCTCAAGGCGATGGGCAAGAAGTCGGAGCGCCTGGAGCTCAGCTACCAGAGCCTGAGCACTGAGAACCTGCGGCTGCAGCAGAGCCTGGACAGCGGCAGCCAGAAGGCGCAGGCCCTGGAGCGGGAGCTGGGGCAGCTGGAGGCCGAGAACCAGGGCCTGCGGCGGGACCTGGAGGCCCTCCGGCTGGCCCACCGGCAGCTCGAGCGGGCGGAGCAGGAGCGGAAGGCGCTGGAGCAGGAAGTGGCCCAGCTGGAGAAGGACAAGAAGCTGCTGGAGAAGGAGACCCGGCGGCTCTGGCAGCAGGTGGAGCTCAAGGACGCCGTCCTGGACGACAGCTCCGCCAAGCTGTCTGCCGCCGAGAGGGAGAGCCGCGCGCTGGACAAGGAGCTGGCCCGCTGCCGGGACGCGGCCGGCAAGCTCAAGGAGCTGGAGAAGGACAACCGGGACCTCACCAAGCAGGTCACCATGCACACGAGGACGCTGACCACCCTGAGGGAGGTGAGCCGGGGGCCGGCGGGGTCGTCATGATACATGGTGCGGGCTGTGGGACAGAGGTGGGACGGCGGGAGGCCCCTGGCACGGGCCCCCTTCTTCGAACCAGAATGACACCCAAAAGCATGAAGAGGAAATAGACGTGACCTGTTAGGAACTGACTGCCCAGAGACAACCAGTGCCTGGGGTATTTTATCCCATCCTCTTCCTTGCGCATTTGTGTATACACACACTTGGTACCCAACTTTCTACACCTCAGCCCTATTCTGTTTTTCACTTACTTTACCTTTTCTCATTACACTAAATAGCTTTCAAGCCACAATTTCTAATGGCCCTGAGGTAGATTTACTGTGATTAATTCTGTAGATTTACTGTGATTACTTCCCTGGCCGCTCAGACAGTAAAGAATCTGCCTGCAGTGCAGGAGACCTTGGTTCAATCCCTGGGTCAGGAAGATCCCCTGGAGAAAGGAATGGCAACCCACTCCAATATGCTTGCCTGGAGAATTCCGTGGACAGAGGAGCCTGGTGGGCTGCAGTCCATGGGGTCGCAAAGAGTCAGACACGACTGAGCGACTAACACACACTAACACACATTTTCTGGACATTCAGATTATTTCTGAGTTTTCCCACTGTTTTATTTATTTTTGTAAAGTCTTTATTGAGTTCATTGCAGTATTGTTTCTGTTTGTGTTCTGGTGTTTTGGCCGAGAGGCATGTGGATCTTAGCCCCCTGACCAGGCAGAGCTGGGAACCAGGGAAGCCACACCCCCTGCACTGGACCTCCAAGGAAGTCCCTCCTACTATTTTAAATAACACTGGGCATCCTTGCGCACGTACACCTTCACAGATACCTATTTTCTTAGGACATACACCTCGAAGTGCAATTACACTTGAAAGGGTCCAAATTTTTAAGTCTCTTGGTGAACACCTATCTGTCTTCTCCCTGGTATTTTTTTTGGCGTGGTCATCTGGGCTTTCCTGCATGTGTTAGGGTGAGTCACTGCTCTGTGTAAATGACCTCAGCATCTGCCTGGCCCGTCACAGAAGCTGGGTCTCCCCACGTGTGGGAGTTCACTGTGGCTGTTCACAGGCACCTGTGGCTCAGCCGTCCCACGGTGGACCTACCTGCAGCAGGTGGATGCGGAAAAAAAGGACCACACTTCATGGGGCAGAATTGGGTCGCAAAGCTGCACCTAACTGCTGAGGAGGCTGAGAAATGTTCTAGCTGAGTGCTAAGGAAGAAAAGGAAATTTGAGAACACAGGAAGTTTTCCGTGTTACATAGATATATATCACTGACTGTCAGTGCAGGCAGATCACCATATGGGGGAGAGACGAGACACCAGCTCAGGCCGTAGCCCCTGCCTCCATCAGCATTGGTTAGGGTTTGCTGCAGTAACGATCGACCCAGGGGCTTATCTCATCCAAGGCTGGTTTCTCGTGCGAGTCCAGGTGACTCTCCAGGGAGCCTGTCCTCTGTGCTGGGGCTCAGTAGTCCAGTCTGCTTTGATGTTATGGCTCCCCCATCTCAACGTGGAGTTAGGGCAGTTCCCGCAGCAGAGGTGAGGCAGCTGGAAGGTCATGCACTAGCCCTTCCATGCCACACCTGGGGAGCGACCCTGGAACATTCGGCGAACATCACCCAATGTGGTAGGGGTTCCAGGCCTTGGGGTGTGGTAGGTGTCCATGTGAGGGCATGTAGCTATGTCACCGGGCAGAAATTGGTAGCTGCCTGGAAAGCTACAGAGGTGTGGACCAGAGTAAGTGAACTCCTAGGTGAGGTCAATGTCCAGTTTTGAAATGTAAATCAAAACCTAAGTCTAAAAGTAAAATCTTTCTCCCCTTTATACTTTTTTCTTATGTTCTAAATTCCCTGCAATGGGCTTTTAATTACATCACTTCATAGAAAAGGCAGTTGTGTTGGAAGAATTCAAACCTACTCCTCCAAGGTCACCATAAATGGTATCTCAGAAGCATGTCTGGATGTGTTTGGAGCATGTTCAGTCCTCCCCGGACACACTGCTGCGTGGTCTGGTGTCCTGAACCCCGGGGCCTGGGAAGGTGTGTTTATCCCTTCCCTTTAAGACATCCCTGGGGTCAGCTGTCCACATAGAACCACCCACTCAGCCCTCAAGACACCCGAGCTGGCCGTGACTCGAGAAGATGACTGCTCCGCCCTGAGATGGGCCTGTGTCTGTCTCTCTTACCGCATCTGCTGGGCTCCTCGTCCAGCAGTGGCCCATGCTCGTCCTCACTGTCCCCACAGGACCTGGTGCAGGAGAAGCTGAAGAGCCAGCAGCTGAGCAGTGAGCTGGACAGACTGAGCCAGGAGCTGGAGAAGGTCGGCCTCCACAAAGAGCTGCTGCTGCAGGATGACAACAGCAACGGTGACACGTGAGGACCCCCCCCCCCCACCGTGGCTGCAGCAGTTTGTGTGCCCCGAACCCCTGGCTCCACGCCCCACCCCGCCCCCCGTGCTGCATTTACTCTCCACACCCGAGGGCCTGTTGTCACGTGGGGCCTTCTATCCCAGGCCTCTTTCCTGGAGGTTCCAAGCGCAGAGTGGAAGGCGATTTCTTTTGTCCAATAAAAAGGCTTCCTGATTTTTTTTCTAGTTAGGCTCTTTCAGGGTAGTTTTAAATTCACAACAAAACTGAGGGGCAGGTACAGAGATTTCCTGTAGACCCCTGCCCCCTGACATGTGCACTCTCTCCAGCCATCAGCACCCCTCCCACCAGAATGGTACATACGTTACACCGACAGGGCATCATCACCCAGAGTTCACAGGTGACATTGGGGTCACTCTTGGTGTTGCATGTTCTGTGGGTTTTGACAAATATATAATGACATGTATCCACCCCTCTGGGGTCACACAGAGTGTTTTCACTGCCCTAAGGGTCCTCTGTGTTCTACCTGTTCCCTTCTTCCACCAGCCCTTTGATTTTTTTTTTAAACTCAGCCTGCAATTCTTTCTTTCTCTCTTCCCTTCTCTCCTCTCCTTCTCTTTTTCTTCCTTTCACTCTCTCCCCCCGCCACCCATGCTGGGTCTTTATTGGGCTTTCTCCAGCTGCAGTGAACAGGGGCTCCTCTCTCGCTGCAGTGAACAGGGGCTCCTCTCTCGCTGCAGTGAACAGGGGCTCCTCTCTGGCTGCAGTGAACAGGGGCTCCTCTCTAGCTTCAGTGAACAGGGGCTCCTCTCTAACTGCAGTGAACAGGGGCTCCTCTCCGGCTGCAGTGAACAGGGGCTCCTCTCTGGCTGCAATGAACAGGGGCTCCTCTCTAGCTTCAGTGAACAGGGGCTCCTCTCCAGCTGCAGTGAACAGGGGCTCCTCTCTAACTGCAGTGAACAGGGGCTCCTCTCCAGCTGCAGTGAACAGGGGCTCCTCTCTAACTGCAGTGAACAGGGGCTCCTCTCTAACTGCAGTGAACAGGGGCTCCTCTCCAGCTGCAGTGAACAGGGGCTCCTCTCTAACTGCAGTGAACAGGGGCTCCTCTCTAGCTTCAGTGAACAGGGGCTCCTCTCCAGCTGCAGTGAACAGGGGCTCCTCTCTAACTGCAGTGAACAGGGGCTCCTCTCCAGCTGCAGTGAACAGGGGCTCCTCTCTGGCTGCAGTGAAAAGGGGCTCCTCTCTAGCTTCAGTGAACAGGGGCTCCTCTCTGGCTTCAGTGAACAGGGGCTCCTCTCTAGCTTCAGTGAACAGGGGCTCCTCTCCAGCTGCAGTGAACAGGGGCTCCTCTCTCGCTGCAGTGAACAGGGGCTCCTCTCTCGCTGCAGTGAACAGGGGCTCCTCTCCAGCTGCAGTGAACAGGGGCTCCTCTCTAACTGCAGTGAACAGGGGCTCCTCTCTAGCTTCAGTGAACAGGGGCTCCTCTCCAGCTGCAGTGAACAGGGGCTCCTCTCTAACTGCAGTGAACAGGGGCTCCTCTCCAGCTGCAGTGAACAGGGGCTCCTCTCTGGCTGCAGTGAAAAGGGGCTCCTCTCTAGCTTCAGTGAACAGGGGCTCCTCTCTGGCTTCAGTGAACAGGGGCTCCTCTCTAGCTTCAGTGAACAGGGGCTCCTCTCCAGCTGCAGTGAACAGGGGCTCCTCTCTCGCTGCAGTGAACAGGGGCTCCTCTCTCGCTGCAGTGAACAGGGGCTCCTCTCCAGCTGCAGTGAACAGGGGCTCCTCTCTCGCTGCAGTGAACAGGGGCTCCTCTCTAGTCGCTGTGCGCGGGCTGCAAACTGCGGTGGCTTCTCTTCTGGAGCACGAGTGCAAGGACGAGCGGGCTTCAGTAGTTGCAGCACGTGGGCTCAGTAGTTGTGGCCCACAGACTTAGTTGCCCCACAGCATGCAAGATTTTCCCAGATCAAGGATTGAACTGGTGTCCCCTGCATTGGCAGGAGGATTCTTAACCACTGGACCCAACCCTTTGATTTTTAAAGTTGAACTGTTGCTACTTTGCCTGCAGTGCTTTCCTGAATCATCTCACTTTTCCAGGAAATCCAGCATCTTGGACTTTTGCTGGACTTGTAACCAACATGATGTCCTTTTGGTGTGGTGACAAGTCCACAGAGATTTACCACTTACCTAGCACTATGATCTTGGATGGATTCCTTAACCTTTCTGAGACTCAGTTTCCCCATCTGTAAAATGGCCACAATAATACTTCTCTAAGATGGCGCCTGGAAAACTATAGCCGTGATGTTTCATTTAAGAGTGTCCCAGATGTGTCTATACCAAGAGTCCAGGGAAGGGCTCTGGGTGATGGTGTTTGGCTCCTGCAGTCCTTCTGGGCCACATCCTGCAACGAGATGAAGAAACTAGCTTAATGCAGGAGGGCCTTGTGGGCAGCTGGGAGACCAGGAGCTTGTGGGAGGAAGAGACAGATAAATACTACCATGCATTTTTATTTTTCAGGAAATACAAGATTTTGGAGAGCATAAATGAATCAGCTTTAAAAACAACACTCGCCATGAAAGAAGAAAAGATTACTTTCTTAGAAGCGCAGGTAGAAGAGAAAGCCAGCCTGAATCACCAGCTGCAGAACGAGATCCAGGTGGTAAGAGCAGCGTCCCCCCAACCCGCCCCAGGACGGGCCAGGGGTTGTGGCTGTGAGATGCCTGCCTCACCTTTCTCACATCCTCACCTGGGTGGCAGAGGGGCAGCCTGGATGCCCGTTTTCTGGAGCAGGTGTTTGTGGAGTGGATGCCAAGGCTTGGGAGGGAGGAGACTGGCCATGGTCATGTAGCTGAAGTCGGGGCTTTGTCCCAGCGCTGCCCTTCAGCCCCCTCTATAGGGAGGGGGTAACGTGGGATGGAGGCTGTGTGCGCTCCCCTCAGGAGCAGAGGCAGCTGCCTGGCGGGTCCACACCAGTGTCAGGCATGGGCATGGTTTGGTGCGGGGGGCCCCCAGCGGGCCCCTTCCTCCCCCAAGTCCTCTTTCCTTGTTCCCGCAGCTGAAGAAGGAGTGTGAGATCCTCAAGCAGAGCCAGGAAGGGGGGACGCAGGCGCAGAACTCTTTCAAACACCCCATGGGGAAGTCAGTTGAGGGTCACCCAGGGAAGGAGCCCTGGGCGCCTATCCACAAGGAGGCCACGATGGAGCTGCTGCGTGTGAAGGACCGGGCCATCGAGCTGGAGCGCAACGTGAGTGGGGAGAGGCCATCTGTGAACCGTCATGTAGGTAGAGCAGGAATTCCCATCACTAGGAAGGACCCTGGGTGGCAGGAGCTGTTGAGATTGACGCAGGTCTCATCAGCCAGTTATTGTATTTCCTGGCAGGTCCTGTGAACTCCTTTCCACTTGAGATCCCTTCAGCCTTTTTTTCTTCTTTTGTTTTAGTGAGCATTTGACTTATTTATTTTAATTTGTTCATTTATTTCTGGCTATGTCAGACGTTAGTTTTGGCACACGAGCTCAGTAGTTGTGGTACATGGCATAGTTGCCCCATAGCACGTGGAATCTTCGCTCACCGACCAGGGATCGAACCTGTGTCCCCTACGTGGGAAGGCGGATTCTTAACCACTGGACCACCAGGGAGGTCCCCCTTCGGGCTTTCTAACTGAAAGGGTGTGTGCCCATCTTCCCTGAAGACGCACTCTCTGCCTCCCAGCACAGCACTGGGCCTGGAGTGTCTACACGCGCACTGTTTCCATGGGGTTCTGTCGTTCAGTGCTCTGTCGGGGGTCGACTGCCCATCCACCACGGTCCTCCACCTGTTTTCATGAATAAGATTTTATTGGCTCGCAGACACACCCTTGGCTTCCATGTTGTGTGGAGCTGCCTTTCCATGGCGATGGTGGGGGTCAGTGTTGAGACAGAGACCACACGACCAGCAAACCCCCAAATATTTGCTGTCTTGCCCTTTACAGGAGAGAAGGCAATGCACCCCACTCCAGGACTCTTGCCTGGAAAATCCCATGGACGGAGGAGCCTGGTAGGCTGCAGTCCACGGGGTCGCTAAGAGTCAGACATGACTGAGCGACTTCCCTTTCACTTTTCACTTTCATGCATTGGAGAAGGAAATGGCAACCCACTCCAGTGTTCTTGCCTGGAGAATCCCAGGGACGGAGGAGCCTGGTGGGCTTCTGTCTATGGGGTCGCACAGAGTCGGACACGACTGAAGCGACTTAGCAGCAGCAGCCCTTTACAGAACAAGCTTGTCTGTGCGTGTCTAAACCCTTGACGTCCTTTGATGTCCCCCAATGGCCTTATGAAGTAGATAGTGATGGTTTTCATTTGACAGATGAAAAAGATGAGATAGAGTGTAAGAAACTCGACCCTAAGCCCTGTACTGGTAAGGGACAGGCCATGACCACAACCCACACGTCCCAGCCCAGTAGGTGGTGTATTTTGCTTGGCCTTTATTTGCCTCACAGAGCAGGAACCGCCTTAACCTACCTGCTGTCACCCCTGAGTGGGATGAGGCTGTGGCCACAGGCCCTGACTCCCTGTCCTGTGAGAGCTCAGATGTGCATTCTCAGGGTGAGCGACAGAAAACAGAAGCATTAAAGACAGAAAGCTTTAAAGAAAGCAGCTGTAACTCCAGCTCACTCTTGTTGCACACTCACGTGCTCAGTTTCCTTGCAATATCCCCATCATGTGTATTCATTTCTGTTATGAAAACATGGACAAAAAAATTTTTTTTTCTGATTCTGTTGTCTCTCTAAGAGGGAAAGTGTTACTTCTCTTACTTGATGGGTTCCAGCTTTGGCCCCCAAAACATTAACTCTTGAGGGTTCCCATTCCTAACAACTCAGATCCCCGCCACCAGTTAGCAGGTACGGAGGAAGTGAAGTGAAAGTCTCTCAGGCATGTCCAACTTTTTACGACCCCATGGACTACATACAGTCCATGGAATTCTCCAGGCCACAGTACTAGAGTGGGTAGCCTTTCCCTTCTCCAGGGGATCTTCCCAACCCAGGGATCAAACCCAGGTGTGCCGCATTGCAGGTGGATTCTTTACCAGCTGAGCCACAAGGGAAGCAGGTACAGAACTGGCATCTGATCGGTCCCATGCTTTTCCCTCCCCCAGAATGCGGCCCTGCAGGCTGAGAAGCATCTGCTCAAGGAACAGCTGCAGCACTTGGAGACCCAGAACACGGCCTTCAGCAGCCAGATCCTGACGTTGCAGAAGCAGAGCACCTTCCTACAGGAGCATAACACCACACTGCAGACGCAGACGGCCAAGCTGCAGGTGAGGGCCGGCTGGGCCAGCCCTACAGGGAGGACGCTCCTTGTCTCCTAGAGACCGGCCCAGCCATCTCACGACTCCCAGTCAGCAGGACAAAGCAGAGGGAGAGTTTCGGGTTTCGTTTTTAGCAGATGCATTCTACACCATGGTTCCTAGTCTCAGGATCTTTGAAAGTAGTTTTCAGTGATTGAGAACATGGCTGCCCAGGCTAAAAAAAGACTTCATTTCCCTGCTTTTACTTGCAGTCTTGTCTGTTTCCCAAAATCTCTTTCTTGAGATGTTCTTAGGATTGGAAAAAAGAGATTCTGGAATCGAATAAGTTGAGTTCAGCCGAGTCAAGCACATTACTTTACCATAGGACGTGGCAGAGTCTTTCTGAAGCAAATGTGAATTTTTCATCTCCACGAGTGAAATGGAGCATCAAGTGTCTGTTGAGAGCATCTAGGCAAACGAGTGTTCTGGACCGTGCATTTTAAGATGTGGATATTTATTAACAGTTAATAGATTGTGAAAAGAATTATTCATTGCAGTTTCTGAGAAAGGGATTTGAAAGTATGTAACTCATGGGTCAGGGACAACAAACAAGAGACTGGCAAAGAGGTTGGGATTTGTTCTAGCAAAAAAGGAAATGGGGTAGTGGTTCGTAGTTTTGTTTTGTTGGGGTTTTTGGTTGTGGTTGTCAGATCTTTGTCTCATCTTGATGTTAAGGTAATTAATTCTGACCTCAGAATGAGTTAGGAAGTGTTCCCTTCTCTGCAGTTCCTCATAGTTTTGGATGTTGGGTGGGTGTTCTGTAGCTATCAATCAGGTTAAGGTAGGTTGTTCAGGTATTCTGTATCTTCAGTGATGCTCTTTTAAAACTAGGCTTTTAAGAGTGTTCAAAGATGGTATCCAAGGAGCCTATTCATAGGTAGGGCCTTATTTGCCACTGAAAGTCACACCTGTGGAGAGGCTTCAGGACCAAGCATCATGTGGCAGCCTGTTACACCGTCCGGCCTCCGCTAGCCATTCCTCAAGTCCGGGTAGAACGGTCCTCGGTCCCAGCTGGGTCTTTACCTGCCCCGGGCGGGGGGGCGGTCCCCGCTGCCTCCGTGTCAGCCTCCGTCCCCGTCTCCCTCTCGGCAGGTGGAGAACTCCACCCTGAGCTCGCAGAGCGCCTCGCTCAGCGCCCAGTACGCACTGCTGCAGAGCCAGCAGGCGGCCAAGGAGAGCGAGCACGAGAGCCTGCAGCGGCAGCAGGAGCAGCTGGCGGCCGCCTACCAGGCACTGCTGCAGGACCACGAGCGCCTGGGGGCGCTGCACGAGCGGCAGGCCGCCGAGTACGAGGCGCTCATCCTCCAGCACAGCTGCCTGAAGACCCTGCACCGCAACCTGGAGCTGGAGCACAAGGAGCTGGGGGAGAGGTGCGTGCCGGCCGGCGGCCCCGGGGCGTGCCCCTCCGTGCCCCTCGCGTCCCCTCTGGGCCTGCCGCTTCGCACCGTCTGGGGCACTGGAGCTTTCCCCAAGGGGAAGTAAGCCGCAGTCTCCCCCGGCGGTTCCGAGTGAGAGCCCCTGGAGAGCGAGTGGCCGGAGGATCCCCAGGGAAGAAGGGGGGTCGCGGCCAGTCCCGGCTGCGGGAGACTGCTTGTTGGCGTGGGGTCCCTGCTCCCCTGCGGAGTCTCTTCTTCCCTCTCTCTTCCCTCCAAACCAGGAATAAGGAGGACGTTCACCGTAGCAGCTCATGTACAGTGATGCCTCTCACCCCGCCTTCTCAGTTCTTTTCTTGCCTTTCAAGGTCTGAGCTGCATTTTTTTTTTTTAACCTCTTGTTGTGGGGTCGCTCAGTGTCCGACTCTTTGTGACCCCATGGACTGCAGCACGCCAGGCTTCCCTGTCCTTCACCATCTCCCGGAGCTTGCTCAAACTCATGTCCGTTAAGTCAAAGATGCCATCCAACCATCTCATCCTCTGTTACCCTCTTCTCTTCCTTCCCTCAATCTTTCCCAGAAACAGTCTCTTCTAATGAGTCAGCTCTTCACATCAGGTGGCCAAAGTATTGGCGCTTCAGCATGAGTCCTTCCAATGAATATTCAGGGTTGATGTCCTTTAGGATTGACCGGTTTGATCTCCTTGCTGTCAGAGAGACTCCTAACGAATCTCCTCCAGCACCAGAGTTTGAAAACAACTTTTAATTTTAAGTATATAGAAAGTAAACAGAATGGTATAGTGAAGCCTCTGTAGACCCATGACTGGCCTCAGCAGTTAGCACTATTTTGCCATCTTTGTTTCATCTTTACTTTCCACTCTCTAGCCCTACACTTTAAGATAGAATTTACATACATTGAAACGCACAAGTCTTCACTTTGCACTGTTGACAGCTCGTGGGTCCTGAGTTTTGTGTACGTTCAGTCAACCAGCATCGCCTGAGCGCCTGCCCCAGCAGATCAGTGATTGTCCCAGGCTCCTGGGCAGGGGTGGCAGGACCCATCACACCTGGCTCTAATGCAGGAGGGAGAGTCTCTGGAACACTTGGCGAGGGCGAGTGGGTGGGTGAGCAGAAGCACTTGTCCTCGTCATCCGCTTGTGAGACGGCCCTGCTGGCAGTGTTGCCCTTGACTCAGCCCTACGATGCTCAGTGAAGCTGCAGGGCAGAGTGTTTCATCGCAGATCAAGGGGAGGGTGTGGAGCCAGCAAAGCTGTGTGAGGGTGCCTGATGCTGCTGTCGGCCGGGGGTGATGGCGTTCATTCATCCACTCACCTGGTGCTTCCTTTTTGCCTCTGTCTGGAGTCCTCCACTCGCTTGATCCACCCAGATCGCCGTCCCTGAGGGCGTGCTGAGACGGCTGCTCCTGTGAGATTGCTCCTTCCAGCCTCCTCTGTGCCTTCCATACCCACGCGGTCCTTTGTACACACCTGCAGCGTGCTTGGTGCTGAGTCTAGACGGGTAGGGGAGGCACCCTATTTACTAACAACATGGAGTGGGAAGTGTTCACTCAGCTCTGAAGCTAGCACGATGCCCAGCACTCACCTCTGCTGTTCTGTGTTATAATAACGTCTTATGATACTCTTCACGTGTGTTCAGCGGGGGAAGGCTCTTGCAGGTGGCGTTTGGGCTGGAGTTCTTCGTTGTTTTTCCTGTAGCGCTGTAGCCCATGGCTCAGTGCAGCACAGAGCCACTGGTTAGCCAGCGCTTGTTGGACAGGCTGGAGGCTCTTTGGGTCTGTCTGCGGCAGGACGCCAGGTTCAGGAGTCTGGGTCCCTGGCACACAGGGACAAAGGCTCTACATTCATTTCCTTTGACACTAAAATCGGACACTTGGCTCTTTCATTCTCTTAACACGTATTTATTGAACGCGGTGCCTCCTTCCACTGGGGACTTGGTGATGAGGCAGACTCGCCCGGGCCCTGTCCTGCAGTGGGGTGGTGACCAACAGTCAGAGAGATGCTGGATCATTACGCTGTCCCAAGACGCTACAACAGGGAAGTAGGAGCCGGGGACCCTAATGGTCAGCCCATGGCCCTGGTTTGTCAGACTTGGGATGACTTTTCCCAGAATCATTAACCTGCCTGAGAAAGATCACCCCAGAAAGCCAGGCAGAGCCGCACATTCAGCACCACGTCAGGGAGCCTGTGCCCTGTAAAGGCCACACAAATGTCTGCCTCTCTAAACAGAGGAGGCCTCGAGCTTGATTCCCGCCCACACAGGCAGAAGCCTGGGCTCCAGTCACATGGTCCACGTACTGCCGATGGGGGGTGGGGGGCAGGGGGGGGTGGCGAGTCTAGAGATGAAGACTGGAAAAGCCTGGACTTGGGGATTAAGTCTTCGTGAGCTCAGAAGGTTCCAGCAGGTAGGAGGGGCAGCCGGGGCTTATCAGGAACTCCGTCCTTGTGCTCTGCTGAGCTGCAGAGACGGCTGTGCAGAGACAGAGGAGAAGTATAAGGAGGCACGTGGAGGGGGAGGGTGAAGTCTGGGTCAGGGGAGTGTCTGGTGTGTGAGTGTGGGAACAACTGGCCTCTGGCAGCTGCCCGGACAGCCCCCTCCCCGGGAAGCCTCTGCTCCCCTGACCCCAGGGCGAGGCTAGACAAGAGCAGGAAGGGCTCCCCCACCCCACCCCCATCCCTGGCGAGCGGGCATTCGCAGCTTTGTTAGCTGTTACCTGTACTGGAAGCCAGCTGTTTATTTTGTGATCTCTTTGAAATCTATTTGTGTTTAGTGAACCTAGCTGAATAAGTGGCTCAGATGGTAAGAATCCATCTGCAGTACAGGAGACCGGGGTTCGACCCCAGGGTCGGGAAGATCCCCTGGAGAAAGGAATGGCTGCCCACTCCAGTATCCTTGCCTGGAGAATCCCATGGACAGAGCAGCCTGGCGGGCTACAGTCCAGGGGGTCGCTGAGTCAAACACGACTGAGCGATTTCCACTTTCTTGGCGAACCCCTAAGAGAAGGCCGTCGGGTTCAGAGAACGTAGTTCTGGAGTCCCAGGTGACCCAAGGGAGGAAGGGTGTGCTGACGGGATTGAGGGGACTATGGAGGCTTGTCGGGTGGGAGGAAGGGGCCTCCTGGCTCTGGGGCTGGAAGAGACCCCCAAACCGCCCCACCGGGCGCTGCCTCCCAGGCTGCTGGCTCGGACTCCTCTCAGCCGCCACCCTCCTGATTCCCTGCCACCTAAGCCTCGCTCCCCGCGGAGGAGGCTCAGGTCTTCCGAGCTGTATGTTACCTGTGGGGCCAAAAGGCTGGGGAACGGGCTGCCAGCAAGGTGTCCCCTCCCGCAGGCACAGCGACATGCTGAAGCACAAGGCGGAGCTGGACGAGCTGGAGAAGGTTTTGAGGGCCGAGAGGGAGGCCCTGCAGCAGGAGCAGAGGACAAGCGCCATGGCCGCGAGCGAGAACCAGAGGCTGCGGGAGGAGCTGGACAGGTAAACGCTGGGGCCCCGGGGCCCGCCTGCCTGTGGGCAGCGGCATCTCACCACTCAGCGCCCCCTGAGGTCAAGGGTATTCCTGGTCATCGTGTATTTTACAGCCCATCATGCTAACAGCTGGTTGGTAATGAGGTCACCAGGAATGGTGCTGGAATGGAAGGACCAGTGTGGTTCCTGGGCCAGCACGTCCAGTAAGCTGGCGGTCCTCACCTCCCGCCCTGAGATGACGATTGTGTCAGCCTCAGGCACATTCATCATCCCACGGGTTCCCTGTTTATGAACTCACCTCCATCTGTAAGCCCCAAATCAGCGTGTGTGGCGCTTTTGAGGACATGCCCAGGGTGGCGGGACATTCGAGGTGCCTGACACACACGTTTCCAGCCAAGAATGCCCACGGTATTCAATCCCAGCAGCCCATGCTGCAAATGAGCGTCCTTTTCGTGGCCTGTTTAGAACCATGGTTTTCGTGGGTTTGTACTTTTTGGTGACAGTTTCCCCGTTCAACAACTTATTAATGAGAGCTGTATTAATAACGTCTTTTATTACCTAAACATTATTGACCAGAGATGTTTCATTATTCGCTTACATAACAAATCACTGGCCACAGGCATTAGTTTCTGCAAAACTCCCCCAGGCAATGACGTGAATGGCCCCCAGGTGGGATGCCGTCTCCTGTTCCCAAGTACAGGGCTGTGATGCACACTGCAGAGAGGACAGGTATGGTAGATAAGCTTCCTTCGGGCATGAGTACACTGCTGGTGGCTGTGAGCACATCACAGGCAGAAACCACATTGAATGAGGTGTGTCTTGACCAGCTGACACAAACGTGTGACCAGATTCATGGGAACACGCCCCCACATTTCTCCCTAAGAGCTGGTTTAGTGTCTTGGGGACCTTAGACTGTTACCACCGAGAGTAACAGGAATCTACAGAATCATGTGTGTGTTAGTCGCTCAGTCGTGTCCAACTCTTTGCGACCCTATGGACTGTAGCCTGCCAGGCTCTTCTGTCCATGGGATTCTGCAGGCAAGAATACTGGAGTGGGTTGCCATGCCCTCTTCCAGGGGATCTTCCCGACCCAGGGATAGAACCCAGGTCTCCTGCATAGCAGGCAGATTCTCAGCCATCATAGAATCATTATCATCCATTTTTTAAAAAATAGATGAGGGAGCAGGCTGGGATTGAATGCCTTGTCCGGGGCTGATGCTCGTAGTCAGTGGCAGAGACAGGATTTTAATCGGGTCTCTGGCAGGGCCACGTGATGCTGCTTCCTCCCCATGTCCTTGTGTTCATGGATACAGAGGACTGTGGGCTCAGGTGCCAGGCAGGTCAGGCACGTGGGTGATGAGTGCCAGCTGTAGACCAGAGAACAACATGGAGAAGCCACTCGGTCTCAAGGTGGTCAGCTGGGAGGCAGGCCTGGGGCCTCCAGATTTTCCTCTTGTTTGTGCTTGTTGTCTTAAAAGAAGTTGGACGTTTGAATGTTGATGTGAAACTTCCACAATTTTAAATGTCGACCCCCTAATTCATTTAATCAGTGAGCTAAAGACCCATCTGTGTCTAAATCCAGTCCATGAGCCCCTGGTACTTGGAGCTTTCTGTTATACATCCTCCCCTGAGAAAGCCCAGTCAGATAATAGTTATGATGATGACGATAATTTTAGCAGATTTACATAATACCCACCCAAGCATCTCATACTTTATTTATCTCAAGAGTTGAAATTAGAAAAGGAGCTTGGAACTGGGAAGAAGAGCTGAGCATAGACAAAGAGTTTTAGAGCATCTTCTGCTTCAGTGTTTAAAAAAATCTTTCAGCAGCAGAACCCTTTTTTCCAAGGAGGCAGATATGCCAGAGCCTTAACTGCAGAAGAGATCACAACAGTGATGCTCTGTCGGAGTGGGTGTCTGAGCCTGCCTGTGCTGTCTGCCCCGGCGCAGGGTCGGGGCACCGGGGCTACCTTCACAGGACCCCAGAGAATCCAGCTTGAAAACCACTGGTTTTGTTCAACTCCCTCGTTTTGAGGCCCAGAGAGGTTGTGGCTTGGTCTAAGGTCGCACAGCTGGGACAAGGCCTGGGAAGGCTCTTCGGCCCTGAGCCCTGTGGCTCTCCGCTCCCCCCCCCCCACCCCCAGGGTCAATTTCCTGCACCAGCAGCTGAAGGGGGAATACGAGGAACTGCACACCCACACCAAGGAGCTGAAGACCTCGCTCAACAGCTCACAGCTGGAGCTGAGCCGCTGGCAGGCCCGGTTCGACCAGCTGAAGGAGCAGCACCAGAACATGGACATCTCGCTGACCAAGCTGGACAACCACTGCGAGGTGAGGCCTGGGGCTGGGTAGTGGGGCCCCAGGGCGCCAGAACGAGTCCCCTGGGGTGACAGCCCTCTGGCTCAGCAGGGTTGAGATGGGTCCTCCTTGGCGCATGTGCTCTGAGGACGTGAGTGAAGGTGGTCCAGAGGCTGAGAGGAGGCCAGAGGTGTCTGGGTGGGGAACAGACATCTCGACTGGTCAGGATGCATACAGAGGCACCACTGCATCCTATCTATGCCTTTTGCAAAGGGTCGGAGCAGGTGCAGCCATACAGCCAAGTGCTGTGTTATTCCTGCCCTCTTGGCTGTGTCCATGCTATTTTTCTGTTTCTTTTCATGTAGTAGCTGCAATGTTCTAGAGAAATGTCACAGGTTTTTGTTTGTTTGTTTTCCGTGCTGAGGTTTGGGTGCGTGGCTCCTGATCCCGGGGTGGTCAGGTTGCAGCTTACACACACATTCCCCCGGTCTCCAAAGGAGCAGAGCCCTGCCTTCTGGTGCACTTGGTTGGAAAGTACTGTGTTCAGCAGCAGACCTCTCAGATGGAGTTGTAAGCAGAGCCCGGGACAGTAAGACAGAGTAGACAGGGCGGGGAGGAGTGGCCGGGTCCCGCCCCAGCCCCGGGATGGCCCAGGACAGCCAGGACCCCGGACACAGCTCCTCTTGCCCTTTGTTTGTTGAGAAACACTCCAGAGGGCCTTCTCCTTTGAGCTCTCGGTAGCCCCACGGGGCGTCACAGCTGAGGGAGAAGAGGCCAGGGTGCCAAGACGCCCGAAGGCCCCTCTGGGCTGGGACTGGGGCCTGTGGAGGAGGCGGGGGCCACGACACAGGCAGACACTGTCCCGGGGACCCCCGCGGCCATGGTCTGTGCCACACACGGCCGTGCTTCAGGGCCTCCATGGGGACTTCAGGCCAGAGCCTGCTGCCACCCAGCCTGTCTGAAGCCAAAGCTTGTCATTTTGCTGTACACCAACCATCATAAACATACTCTGGAGCAAGAGCTGGCCATCCTCAGCCCAAAACTCAAGTCCAGCCCATAAACCTGTTTCTGTATGGCTGTGAACTCAGAATGACTTTTGCATTTTTATAATGGTTAAGAAAGTGGGAAAAAAAAAAACTTTTTTTTTTTTGTGGCAAGTGCAAATGCTGTGACACTTAAATGTCAGCGTCTGTAAGTCAAGTTTTATTGGAGGTCAGGCACACCTGTGCGTGTACGTCTTGTCTCTGGCTCTCACCTATTGCAACAACAGTTGAATGGTTGCAACAAAGACCACCATCTGGCCTGGAAAGCCTGAAATATTTGCTGCCTGGCTCTTTACAAGAGAAGTATGCTGACCCTCAGCTAGAACGGAGTTGTCCCCTAGAAACAATGATGTGGCTACCAGATGTAATGTAAAATTGTCAAGTTAGCCACGTTTAAAAAGTGAAAGGAAGCAGGTGGGATTAATCCTAAGAAATTTTATTGACACAGTATTCCTAAAATATTATCATTTCCACATGTAACTGCAAAAAATCTCATTAATGAGATATTTCACATCCGTTTTTCAGTTAAGTCTTTAGGACCTGCTGTATTCGCCCTGCTCATCTCAGCGAGGACTGGCTGTGCTGTTTTTGTTTGTTTTTCGGGCTGCGTTTTAAGTTCTCAGCAGCCACGTGTTGCCCACGGCTGTCAGATTGAGCAGTGGCCTTTTGGGTCCTTTCACATTGTCACCAGTTGGATAATACTGAGATGTGTGTCTTTTTTTCTTTTGGCTGTGCTGGGTCTTGTCTAGTGCTCAGGCTTTTCTCTAGTTGCAGTGAGCAGGGGCCACTCTCCACTTAGGTGCTCAGGCTTCTCATTGTGGTGGTTTCTCTTGCTGGGAAGCACGGGCCCTAGGGCGTGCTGACTCAGTAGTTACAGCTCCCGGGCCCTATAGCACAGGCTCAGTAGTTGTGGCCCACGGGCTCAGTTGTTCCGTGGCTTGTGGGATCCTCCTGGACCAGGGATCGAGCCTTGGTTTCCTGCATTGGCAGGCGGACTCTTTACCCTTGAGGCACCGGGGAGGCCCAAGTTGGACGTCTTGGCGCACGTGGCCTTTTCCTTCTTTCGGAAGCCGAACTCCCAGTGGCAGACTCACGGGGTCACACCGTTTTTAAAACACCGTTGATCTGTATTTCAGCTGCTGTCCCGACTCAAGGGGAACTTGGAAGAAGAAAACCATCACCTCTTGAGCCAGATCCAGCTGTTGAGCCAGCAGAACCAGATGCTTCTAGAACAGAACCTGGAGAACAAGGAGCAGTACCATGAAGAACAGAAGCAATACATGTAAGGGGCCCGGGCGATGGGGGCGCCTGTCGACACCGGAATCCTGGCTTCTCTGTGTTGGGCCAGAACAGCCCCGGGGCCCGTCAGTGTCCTGAGGGCAGGGGCAGGCCATGTTACCAGCCTGTCCTCCTCTCTCTTGCCATGGAGTGGTTCTGGGTTTCTGCAGGTGGTGGCGGTTGGCTTTTGTTAGCTTTTTAAAGGCGCTGCCCACTGCCAGAAGCTTCTTACTCTGCTTTTGGAATTAAGTGCACTTCTAAAAATACAGGCGTGCGCCACCGAGAAGAAGCTCAGGGAAAGGATTCACATCGAAGGCTGAGCACAGATGCCATCGCAGGACTCTTTCTGTCACTCATGTCTGTGTTCGATGATTGTCTGGAGGGTGGGTGACCAGTATGCCACAGTATTTATTTCTACCAGCTTTACATGGGCCCTGCGAGGTGCATAGCGATCTGGTGAATGGGAATTGCTTGGACTGATGGGATATGACCAGAGCTGTGTCCGTACCAGAGGTTGAAGAGCTTCAGGGAGATGGAGAAGGAAGAGATGGGGTTAATGCTGCTGATGCAGGATGGGGACAAGCAGGTCAGATGGGGGGATGTTGAGGTGTAGCATGGCAGGGGCCTGGGTGCAGGGAACGTGGAGGAACCCCAGCAGACGAGGCACCGATGCCTGGCTTATGAGTCGGGATGCACCGGAAAGTGTTACAGGTTGCTGGTCCAGCCAGACCTAGGAAGCTGCCAGAGATGAGCTCAAGAGGAGGAGCTTGCTATTGAGACATGGTGCAGATGTGAAATAACCCAGGATGGGTCCATGGATTCAGGGGGTTTCCACCGCTCTGCTATGATGGTTGGATTGTCCTGGCTGTGGGCAGGAGCACCTGGCTGGCTTGGGGAAGGAAGGTAGGAGATGGTTGTAGAGGGGCGTGGTCTCATCCCAGCTCTCAAGTGTCATGAGGCTTGTTTGTTATCCTCCCGGTTTCATCTCCACGTTCAGAGGTGGCTCACCACCTACCAGAAAATGCTTTGCATCAAAAACCACACCATAATTTTGGGGGTAGAAACGACCATTGCCTGAAGTTGGCCCTCTGTAATCCAGTGGATAATAATCGCTGCAGACGCCGGGCAGGTGCTAACTAGAAGAGGAGGCACCTGGACCCCAGGGGGATGGTTGGATGACAGTTCTGCATTAGAGAGCGTCTGCGGAGGGCCAGGGGTTGGCAGGCTTCCCGGAGGCTGCTTCGAGCAGAGCAGGGCACTGTTCCGGGGGCCGGGAGGAGCCTAAGCCTGCTCTGACTTTGCGTGAATCTGTGGGGTGAACCCAGCATGGAAGCCCTCCAGGCTTAAGGCCGCACAGCACGGCCATGAAGACAGAGGAACAGATCACAGGCATCGAGTCAAGGGAGCTGACTCAAGCAGCGAGGGGTTGGTGGTTGGGACCCAGTGGTTGCAGAAGCTGCCCCTCTTCATGCGGCGTTCCCTTCATGGGGAATGCTTGGGAAAGTCGCCAGTTTGGGTGGCACCTTGGCAGCGCCTTGATAGGAAGAAGCCTGAGCTGTTGCCTCTGGCCCAGAAGCCTCATTTTCCAGTGAGGAAACCGAGGGTCGGAGCTGTGAAGAGACCACCCAGGTGGTGAGAGGCTGGAGGGGACAGCAGTCGGTGGCCCTGTGGGCGGTGTTGTACAGAGTCCACCCGCAGGACTCCCTGAGATAAAAGCACACCCTGCGAATCAGGAAGGCCAGCGTCTCTCTCCCAGGAAGCAGAGGCGCTCTCTGGCAGCCCAAGGTTCGGGAGGTGTCTCTCTGGTCTTTTCTCTGCTTTTGGAAATAGGAACTGGTTTCCAGCATGTACAAGCTGGGAGATTTTGCTTCATGATATTGAGTTTCTGGCTTCTCTGGGAAATGAGAAGATCCACCCCATCCCCCAACCCAGGTCTGCATTCATTCCTACATGGCAGCAATCCTGGGCGGCTCACCGTGCCTCAGGCTGCACCGTCCTCCCTGGTCTTTCCAGGCCCACCGTGCTCCTCATCTTTTCTTTCTGGCCCCTGGAAGCTTTCAAGTTTGTTTCCACAAAAGTGTAATCAGAAACCCAACGTTGGAATGGGTCTGAGTCAGAGGTCTGCTTTCGCTAAGATGACTTTTTCCACCCTGATTGCCCACCTAGCATCTGAAGGCACACTTCACCCCACCACCGAGATCTGGTTGATATGCACACCCAGGAGCTGGCCCTGAGTGTAATCCTGGGGTGTCCCATGTCCTGAATGACTAGGCTGGAAAGTCCTTGCTTCTGAGCTGGGTTTTTGGACGGTCAGGGGTTATCTTCCTTGAAGTCACTCACAGCTGGGTCCTGGGTGCTAGCAGGCCGCCTCAAGGCATTAGGACTTCCTGGGCCTGTATCCCGTGTTTCCATTCACATATTCCTGACTCAGTAACCAGGGTGGCCCGCGGGACGAGTGCTGGACCAGGTCCCAGGCCGAGCTGACGAGTGACTTCATTTGTCTGACTTAAACCTGACTTGATGGTCTGTCCGCTCTCTCCACAGAGACAAATTAAATGCCTTACGGAGACACAAGGAAAAACTGGAAGAAAAAATCATGGATCAGTACAAATTCTATGATCCTGCTCCAAAGAAGTGAGTTGACTTAAGTTTCAGGAGCAGAAACACAGAAGAGCAAACATTCCTTGTTCATGCTCAGGGCGAAAACAGCAGCTGTCAGGAGCAGCACCCCATCTGTCCGGCCAGTGTCGTCCACGCTGGCGGGTCACCCCTGTGCACATCCTTCCCACAGAAGAAAGACTGTAGAATTTCTTTCAGCCTTGTGCTGGGTTGTAGGGCTGGCTCCGTCCCCCGAGGCTGCTGGCCTCGTCCATCAAGCACCGCTTCCCCGGGCCTGGGCTGCAGGAGTTGGGCCCTACAGATAGTCCTGGCCCAGCCCAGCCTTGAAGGCAGAATCGCTGTGCATTCCTAACGGCCTCTCTGTTAAAATCACAGAACCACAGAGTTTCAGAACCTCAGTCTCAGGGTTCCCTTTGGCAGATGGAGACGGTGAGGCCCAGATGCGGAAGTGGAGCGAGTTGTGTAACCACAGTTCAGTGCGGGTCAGCGCAGGAGGAGAACCCGGATGTGGTTCTCTTTTCAATACAGCAGAAGCCTTCTCTGCTTCCTGTTAGCTACAGCTTTTATCACTTACTCATTATATTCCCTGTTTTTCATTCACACGGCCCACTCTTCACTGCCCTCTGCCGCTGCGCCCAGATTCCTCAGTGCCGGGAGTGGTCAGGGAATGCCAGCTTATTATTACACTTCCTGTGAGCCTTAGCAGGGAATGAAGAGGAATGCGATGCTGAAAATGGCATTTTGGCAGGAAAATGGCCACCTAATAGATCACATTAGCAGAGCACTTCTTTTATTTCACAGAGGTACTCAAGAGTTAATGGGCAAGGGCTTCCTGGGTGGCTCAGTGGTAAAGAATCTACCTGCCCCTGCAGGAGATGGGGGTTCAGTCCCTGGTCAAGAAGATCCCCTGGAGAAGGAAATGGCAGCCCACTCCAGTATTCTTACCTGGGAAATCCCATGGACAGAGGAGCCTGGCAGGGGCAGTCCATGGCGCCACGAAGAGTTGGACATGACTTAGCGACTGGACAGCAACTTCTCTTGTGGTCCAGTGCCTTCTAACACAGGGGGCGTGGGTTCAGCCCCTGGTTGGGAAGCTAAGATCCTACATGCCTCCTGGCCAAAAATCCAGAACATCAGCCACAGAAGCAATATTGCAACAAAGTCAAATAAAGACTTTTTAAATGGTCCACATTTTAAAAAAGAAAAAGGGTTAATGGGTGCACTTGAAGTTCTGTTTTTGCAAGAGAGTAGGGTGGATTTCTGCACCCGTACGTGGTTCTACCATCCCTGAGCTATATCTGATTGAGAATTCTGTTCTATCTCCTGAGCCCCAAATACGGTGGTCACGGTGGTGATGAAGAGCACCATTATTCTAAAGCCCAGTTACTGGCCACCTTTCCAGGCTGGGATGGGGACACCAGCCCAAGTTAGGACACTGTGCCCAGTGACCTGCTGGAGCAGGCAATGAGGTTTGACTGTGTCCTAAAAATCTACCTCTCACTAGGAAAAACCACTGGATTGGAGCCAAAGCCTTAGTCAAGCTCATCAAACCAAAGAAAGAGGGTTCCAGAGAACGCTTGAAGTCAACCACAGACAGCCCTCCCCAGCAGCTGGAATCCCCAGACCCAACCTTGCCATCTGCTTCTCAGCCACTCAGATCTCAGCCCGAGAACCCCGAGTCCACCCCGTCGGGCTCAAGCTGCCCAGAAGAGCGTGATGCCCACAATGGGCCCTTGGGAAAAGGTAGGTGTGCTGACCTGGCTGGCGGAGGTAGGCCTAAGGGACTCTCTCATTGGACAGGGTAGAGGGAGGTGGCATATAGATGTGTACATGTGTGTGTAAGAGCCTGAAAGGGGTGTTAATAGCCAGGAAAATATAAACCCATGTCAGATAAGAAGCATCACTAATCCTATAGACGAGGAGAGGGACTCGAGCCAAAACTGACAATACAAGCCCCAAAAGCAAGCTCAGTAGCATAGGCTTGGGGGTTTCCTTGTACAGGTGAGAGATTTAGAGTAAGCTATCTCTGTAGGGAGATCCCAGGCACATTTCCTGGGTAATGTGCATATGTGGGATCTCAGCAAGTCCACGTGTGGTTTCCAGTCTTTTCATAACTTGGAAAGGCAGGCAGGTTTTCTTCTCAGCCTGACCTGGCCTTCAGCCCTACCAGCCAGGGCTTGGCTTATCTTTCCATGAGGGCTGTCATTCTGAGTTTGCCAGAGGTTCTGAAACAGACTTCTAGTTGAATGTGCTTCATGTCATCAAATCTAAGAGGCTATCAATTATAAACTGCACAGTTACTGTACATACCACTGGCAATCCAGTGATACAGAGCTTTAGCACTTAGGACTTTTATCATGCTCTGGTTGACAAGCTCTTCTAAAGGACTTAATTAAGATAGATTCTGTGTACACTCATAAAAGGAAAATATAAACAAAATATATTAGTCGTGGCAGCGACGATTTTGTCACCATTTCGTATGGACCCCCCAGTGGTGACTAAGATGCTGTGGAAGCTGCGCCCTGATTTCAATGATGTTAAGATTTGGGGATGGGAGATGTACATCTTAGAACTGACTAAACGTGGCAGTTACTTCAAACATTGTTCAATTTCCAAATTTACTTTCAAATATCATTGCTCGGATTATTTATACCAAACCTACAGCCTGAATAATTTAAGTTTTTATGAAAGACACCAGGACTTTCTGAAGATTCTCAGGGGTGGGGGCTGACATCACAGCACTAGGAGCCAGTGGCAGGCCACCCTCTGCTGGGTGGGACATGCACAGGCCTTTCGGGAGGCCGTGTTCACCACTTCACATACCGTCGTGTCACTTTCAAATGCACAAAAGCAAGTGCTTTCACACGTTGTTTGGGGACTAACATTTGCACTCCCATTCTTCGCAGGAGGTCACATTATGTAAAAGGCTCTTGTTCAGGTCAGTGATGATGAAACAGCATTTGTTTTCATCTAGGCAGGTTCTCTGGTCTCTAGTTTTCATATTGGCTATTTAATTGTTTTGACATTCATCTCCTCAACTTGTATTAAAGTTGGCTTAATTAACTCTGCCGGAGCAGGTTGCCATTTCCTCCTCCAGGGGATCTTCCCCACCCAGGGATTGAACCCACATCTCCTGCATTGCAGGCAGATTCTTTACCACTGAGCCACCAGGGAAGTCCTTAATTAACCATAATCAGCCCGATTGAGTCAGGAAAACTTTCAGGGGGAGAAATTGCTTGTACCAATCCGTGAGTGAGCAAGTCAGTGATGATTATTAATAACAGCAGCCATTCATTGAATGCCTTTTGGGGGACCGTCAGCACCTTTTTAATTTACTTTATCTGCCTCATTTAGTCCTAACTGCCCTGTGAGGTAGGCATGATTAATCATCCCCTTTTCAGAGCTGAGAAAGTGAGGCTTAACAAGGTGAAACACTTGCTGCTATAATAAGTGACAGAGCTTAGATTTGAACACAGGCCTGTTAACTCTAGAATCTGAGCGCTTCGCCACCAAGCGCACTGCCTGCAGTGAAAGCTGAAAAAACATGCTGCCTAACAGGCATGTTAGGCCTGCCCCCAGCAGAGCTAAGGGCCCCAGAATCACATCGTCAGTCCCTTACCTATGGTGTGAATATTGACCACCAGGTGGTGCTGTGGAGGAAGAAATAATGGAGGTTCTGGTTCCAAATTTAATTCTAAATCAGAAATTGGATATATTGGTTATGTTTCTGTATGACATGTTCAAAAAGTTAGACCAATTGTCTGCTCTGATAAGACCTTCTAATTTAAAAGTCATATATTAGAAGAAAGGGTATGGTAATTCTTGGTGTTGAGGGCTTTGGAGTGTGAAAAAGAGGTATTTTCATTATTTTTCAACTCATCCTGCCAAAAAAGGTTATTTCAGATGTATAAGAATTATTGGTGAATAATAGTCGGGCAGACTGTTCCATTACAGCAGGCCAGAAAAGTGTTGTTTCCAAGGTCTTTGAACAGGAATGAGAGTAACACATGAGCCAAATTGTCAGGGAGTCAGTCATTAAAATGGATGAGTAAGAGAAGCTGGGTCCTAAATTAATGAACATTCTTATTTAATAATTTAACACATTGAAATTGAAAATCATCTAAGCCCTTGGCTCCTTGAGCAATATGTAGTTCTCTTCACGTGCTGAGTAAAGTGTTGGCACTAAGATGCCGCTAAATTAATTAAATCGAGGCAGCGCATAAATGATTCACTGAGTCCTGATTCCAGTCATGTCGTGGTTTTTGTTTCCATCTTTCCTGGACTGGACTGGATTCTGATTTCCCAAGTACATTGAGCTAATTTAGAGTTACATGTTATTATTCATTTCATTTATTTGTTGTGTTTTTTTTTCTTTCTTCCTTCCTCTCTCGGGTTATCCTGGGGATAACGATTTAGCAACTCAGCGCAAAAAGAGTCCCTTTTTGAGAAGCAAAAGCAAGGACAAAGACAAGTCTCCAACGGCCCACCCGGCTCTCTCTAAACGCCTGCGGTTCTGGTCTTCCTCTGACATCCCATCCTCTCCTAACGAGCCTCTCCCCTTTTCAGAAATTGGAGACTTCTAATCCTTTTTCTTTACCATATGTCTTCATCGTGTATCCTCCTTCATTTCTGAAATTCAAACAAATGGAAAAAAAAAAAAAAACCCAGTACCTAAAGGCCAGATGACCCCTAGCGGACCCCTCCTCCCAACACTAATTCCAGGCCAGACTTTAAAGTAGCCAGCGTGGATTCTGATTTCAAAAGAGAAGATGAGTTGCCACATCCTCTGGACCATTTCTCCAGCACAGCACAGTTGTAGGGGCGCCTCGGGACATCCGTGCACAGGTCCTGGGGCCAGGATGTCCGTGCTGAGTAAGTCCAGTGGCCGTGTGCTGCCCCCCACCCTCGCACCTGCAGACTTTTGTCAGTGCTCAAGAATAAAGCAGAGCTGGTCAGTGTCGCTATGCTTCCTAAAATATACGGCCTCTGTCAAGTGACTTTTTTTTTTCCTTTTCCTTGAGGCTTATCTTGAAGCAGCTAAATTTAAAACTGCTGCCCTTTTCTCCTCTTTCTTTGTCAGAGCCCCGAATTGATGGCTTTTGCCAAATAAGGTCCTTTTTAGAGGTGTTGGATCTTTTGAAGGATTTACTGTGCTCCATTCAAGCGTTTTGAATAATTGCATCGATGATGCCCAGCCAGAGGCCAGCCCAGAATGAAGCTTTATGACTGTGCTCTCTGGACATCTCGGGTGCTGAAGTTAAAGCCGCAGTGGGCAGAAAGAACATCAGCAGACCAGTCACGCCCAGAGCAGGGGAAAGGCTGGTCGAGAGAGGCCTTTAGCTACTGCAGTTTCTGTCTTCAATCATTCTTGTCCCATCTTCATGATTTTTGCCACCTCTGTCCATCACCTGTGTGGTTACTGACATCTTTCCCCTTGAACTGACCCACCGTTTCCACTTAAATTTATCCTCCAAGGATAGATTATTACCTGTACTGTAAATGGAGAGCCAGTACCATTAAAAACAAGGTAACTATATAAAAAATAAGTCCACATGTATTGAAATGCTGAAGTCGGCGGACGTGGTGCTGACTTCCTGTCTCGCTCACCGCCTTGGGAGCCCTGGGCTGCTGTGGTCCCGGCCCCCTGTCCTCTGAGCATGCTGCTGGGACGGTGCTGTTTCTCTGCTGTTCGTACTAACTGTTTGGTCATCTCCACCTCCCCGCCACCTGCTCCTCCTCCTAACTTCACCTGTTGGATGTCTGCCCCATGCATCCCACCAGACTTGAATCTTGCTTCTCATCAAGGTTATCTTTCAGAATCCAAATTCTACCTTGATTTCAAGTCATGATAAGACTTAGGCGATTAAAACTTTACCGTGAATCCAGACTTGAGTGGCCAAGGGGCCGGCGGGGTCAGGTCCATGGAAGAGGGGAGGGGAGGGGACTGAGAGCCTGTCAGTGGCCGTGGCTCTGGGTCTGCAGCCTTGGGGTACCTGGAGTGAGACCTCATGGGAGACAGCATCGTCTTAATGCTTACAGGAACCCCAGCTGCATTCATTTTTGTCTCATATTTGGAGAGCCCATTCCCTTTCTTACTACGAGATAGGTGGAGGGTTGGATGTTTTTAAAATGTTTTTATATAGGATTTGACTTAACTTTGACAAGAGTATATTTTCATAGTAGAAAACTTCGAGATTGCAAAAAAGCATAAGACAAAAGGTAAAAATCCTCTGGTAGTCAGTCTCACCATGCAGACATTAAAGGTCTCTTAAATTATTGTTAAGGTGACAATAAACTTTTCCTGAGATTATAAGTGAAGCCATTTGGCAAGATGCATGTCCTGGACCTTCAGGGCCTCAGCCTCAGGTCATAGTGATGCTGAGCGGATATATACGAGAATCTTTTTTATTTTTATTTTAGATTCAATTTTTACTGGAGAATAGTTGTTTTACAGTTTGTTAGTTTCTACCGTACAGCAAAGCAAATCAGCTGTACGTATACACATATCCCCTGTTTTTTGGATTTTCTTCTGCCAGGATCTGTTTACATCAGGGATTTGCATGATACGCAGTGCTAGGTGGCAGGCGTGCCCTGTAGTTAATATGTTGGACTTGTACCAACATTTTGTCTGTCCTCCTGAGTTTTTCCTTTATTGTCTCCCAGCCAGAATTCCAGGGCTTGCAGGATGGCCCAGCAGTGGAGCTGGGGTCTCTGTAGCCTGTAGCCAGGGCCCTCCTGTTTAAACCACAGCCCGGGGTCGGGGGGCGCCCGGGTGGGGGGCAGCTCAGCTTTGCGTCCCTGCGGTCTGTGTGCCCTGCTGCCCTTGCTTCGAGGCCTCCGTGTGGTCGCCCAGCCTGAGCCCAGGATTCTGCCGCGCTGTCTCTCAATGTCCTTTTCTGCCCCAGGCCCTGGGGACCTAAAGCCAAAGCGAGGGTCCCCGCACCGAGGCAGCCTGGACCGCAAGGACGCCTCCACTGACCCCGCCGTGAAACCCTGGCCCGTGGAGCTGGGCCCCCGGCCCTGTTCGACCTCAGCCATCACTACAACCCCTTCCAGCTCCAGCTCCATCTCCCGGCACCCAGGCCGCACCAAAGGTGAGTCTTGGGCCTTTCCAGAAACAAGAGAGCTGAGCAGCTGGGGCTCAGGGTCCTTCCTAAAGACCCCAGGCTCTCAGTGGGAGGAGGGGTCCCGGGCTGAGAGGTACTGAGCAGGGTGGTTAAGTTGTGGGCAGGCTGTGGCATCACCCAGACACAAGTTCAGACTTCAGCCCTGCCTGCCAGCTGGGTGGGTGACTGGATTGATAAGGTCACCATTTAGAGGCCTGACCCCAAGCCACTCGAGGGGAAGCCCCGGGACCCACTCCCACCGCCACCATGCAGAACTCGGAGGCGCCAAGTAGATCTAGAAGGGAGGTAAGCTAGCATCTGCGCTAAAAGGAGGCATCCTCTCCAGCCCACCTTGGTAGAAGTCTGGAGGTTCATTCTCTGTGGAGGATACACAAGAGGGTCTCTGAACCAGAGGTGGGTTGACAAGAGTGGAAGGCAAGTTTCCCAAATGAAAAAAAGCAAGGGGGTTGTAGGGAAGGATTTACAAACTGAAGGTCTCCCAGGTTGCCAATAGCCATGCGCTTGTTCACACCTTTAGACATGAGATTAAAATATTGTCCCAGTCATCTGATCAGCTTAAGAAGACCCCAGCTGAATGTCTCCATCCGATCTTGCCAGGTGAAGCCCAGGGACACCTCTAGTAACAGACCAAAACCAGTGTGAGAGGCCACAGACATAAGATGGAAACTTTACGATGCCCGTCATTAACGTAGTCAGAGATGAGCAAAGCTGTTGTACCCATGAAACAAGAATAGGGTGCTGCCAAAAGAGAGGGGAAAGTATTGGGAAATTTAAGATTCGCAGGGAGAAACAGGTAAAGCTCAAAACCAAAAAAGACCTTCGGCTGATAATTTAAAGATAGGAGACATCCAAAGAAGCAGCTAAAAGGACTGAAAGTAATTGTCTCTGAGGTGTTAGAAGTTGGAGGACGAGAAGTGGTTGTTCTTTTTCACAGTAATAGCACCCCCTCTGCTCTTAAAACCAGGGGCTTGCACAACCTTGGTTTGACAAGCAAAGATAGACAGGGTCCCTGCCCTTGTCCCAGTTGCTTATAAGTAGGAAGCGCCCCAGGGGAGAAGGTGAGTGGGGTGGGCACAGGAGGGATGGGCAGCCTCTCCCCACTGCTGGCAGTCACTTACGGTTGGGTGTCAGTGGAGCTGTGCCGTGAGCTGTCTGGGAGAACCATGCCCTGAGCCCGCGTGGCAAGGGTGTCTGTTGTCTGCAGCCATCAGTACCCCCCTGGTTTCTGGAGCTCTGGGGTGCAGAGGCCCTGCCTGGTCCTGGGGAAGAGCTGGGAACACCATCTCCCCTCAGGGTTTTGGGGATCCCTGTGACTCAAGGTCCAGCCCTCTGGGCTGACCCACAGGCTATCTTAGCCTGGATCCCATCGCTGAACCAGAGCCCAAGCCTGGAATCATCCTGGAATCGTCACTGGCCTGCAGAGCAAGCACAGGGCTCTGTCTGTCACCGATGGCGCCCTCACCCCGCCCACAGCAATTCCTTGGCAGCCTGGCTCTCACATTCTGGGCAGTCACGGCGGATGGCTGTGTAACCATCATCAAAATGGAAACCGCCCTCACCCACCCCCCGGGACCAGGGTTTCTTTAAGTAAATTCCTTTTAGAGTAGAATTTCATAATAAAGATCTGGGCATGGCAGAGTTGTCATTACTTCTGCACCCTTTCAGTAAAGAAATTCTTTTTGAAGTTCTAGTTTAATATTACAGGGATTTTTTTTTTCCTTCGATTTCATGTGTGTGTCCTCTTCTTCCACAGACGTCTTCTCTCTTAAAACATTTCCTTGTATTTCCTGAAAATATGCAGTGATGGTTAAAAATTTTAATACTAATACTGCTACTAACAAAATCACCAAGTGATGTTTATTTCCTTTGTAATTCTTCTAGTGCTTAGATTAAATCTCATTAAAGATGCAGAGTTTTATATTCAAAATTCACTGGAATTTTTTCTTTTATGGATTATGTTAGTGGTTTGATATACACTAAGGTTTATTTGTTTCTGTCTTCAATTTTAGAATTTTTCTTTGTTAAATGCTGTTTTTTACTACATAAAATATTTATATAATTTAAAGCTAAATTACATAAAAAGACATGCTTAGATTTCTAAGCCTCACGTCTCTCCCTTTCCCCTCCATTACATTCCAAAATCACCCTATAGATAACCTTTTTTTTAGTTCCTTATTTATACTTTGTGTTTCTTTTTGCAAAAAAAAAAAATTAAAATATTGCATCTTTTTTTTTTCACTTAGACATATGTCATAGAGATCTTTCTCATTCTTTGTATAAGCACACAGTAATTAAAATGTTGATATGATGGTATACAACCAATTAGTCCCCAGAGTTGATTCCTAGAATTAGGATTGCTGGGTCAAAAGACAAATACAAATATACTTCTCCTAAATAAGATTCCATATTTTTTAAAGGTTCTTCAGAAAATTCTGATAATTAACTAGGTTTAATGACCAAGAGCCTACATATCACTAGCCATATTTTACTATTGTAATCAAGGCAGCAAGTTTTAATTAAGTCACTACTTTGAGTTGGGCATTAGGTTGTTTAGTCGCTAAGTCGTGTCCGACTCTTTCGTGACCCCATGGACATGAGCCCGCCAGGCTTCTCTGTCCATGGGATTTCCCAGGTGAGTTTACTGGTGTGGGTTGCCAATTTCCTTCTCCAAGGGATCTTCCTGACTCAGGGGTCGAACCTGTGTCTCCTGCATTGTCAGGCGAAGTCTTTACTACTGAGCCACCGGGGAAGCCCATTGGGCATTAAGAGAGAACACAAAAAGTAGGATTCTCCCACCTTCAGTGAATTAAAAAAAGGAGTTGTCCTGCTGTCATCTCCTGGGAGACAGAACCTGCAAAGGAAGCCATTAGATCATATCTAACTTAATAAAAAATTTATTGGAGCATAGTTGATGTACAGTGGTGTGTTTGTCAGTTTCTGTGGTACATCAGAATGAATCAATTATACATATATTCACTCTTCTTTAGATTCTTTTCCCAAATCGACCATTACAGAGTATTAAGTAGAGGTCCCTGTGCTATACAGTAGGTCCTTATTAGTTATCTATAGTTATTTATAGTAGTGTGAAGATCGTACCTAACTTTGAGTGTATCTTACTACCAGAATTTTGATAACAGGAATCGAGGGTGGGTTGGAAACCCTTTAGCCACTTTGGAGGGACTCGGGGTCTACTGTTAGAGAGAAACTCGCAGGTCCAAGGCATAGGGCATTTGAGTCCCTCTCGGGGACAGGGCCGTGGATGGCTGGCGTGTGCTTCCGGTCTGTTTCTGGAGCTGCCAGGGCAGGGCTATCTCCAGGGAGTCGGCCTCTCCCGTCAGGTGCTGGAATCTTTCCTTTGCCCTCCTCCTACGAGCCGAAGGCAGTGTGGCCCCCAGACCAGAACTGCTGGCACGGCCTGGCCTTGGAGGTTGGGAAGTGGTCCCCAAGGCCCTAAATAATCAGCTCCTTTTGCTGTGTTGTCCTTAGGCCAGATCACTGCTGTAGCCTTCAAGCCCCAGTCACTGCACAGGCAGAAAGGGGATTTAAAGTTAAATCAAATAGGAGTCAGGAGTGTGAGAGTTATACCATCAGGAGGCACAGAAGAGGCGTGGTCCACGCTCCCCTCCCTCGCCCCGCCACCCCCGCCCCCGACAGTCGGGGGCTGCCCCAACACAGATGCCAGGTGAGGTTCAGAGGTGGCCGTCTGGCAGACAGCCTGAGTTTCCCCATGGATGTTCCAGAACCCCTGACTCATTGTCCTGTTTTCACCACAGGCTATAATTCCGAAGACAGCCTCTGCGAGCCGTCCTTGGAGCTCGAGTTCCTTCACCCCAGGCAGTACGGTGAGTGGTCGGTGCTACATGCCCTTCCACCTGGATTCTCAGTCTTGTTCTCATCAATAGTGCCTTTTCCTCAAGCTAAGTCCTGTACGGAAGTCCAATACACAAAACAGGTGAAAATGGAGTTGTTGTATGAAGTGGGGATGGGTCCACAGTTCATCCAGACTCCTTCCTTCCCCTCCCCAGGGGCCTGAGCATCTGACTTCTGCTTACATACCTCCAATGATGAGGAACTCACTACTTATCAAGCATCCCTCTTCCGGAGACTTTAATTTCCCTTGCCTTAAAGCACCCCTCATGTTTGCCAGGATGTTCCAGTGACCCACCCATGGAGCATTGACTTCAGGAAGATCTCTCACTGCGCTCACTTGCAGAATGGCTCCAAGTTACATTTAGTCTTAGAAACTGTTAAAAATACTTGCCATTTGAGTTAGGCATATTGCAAATTACTGCAGAAGGGAAACCAAAATTATACTAACTTTCTCAAAAAATTAAAAGTGGCTTTGGGTTTTGTTTTTTTTTTTAATTTTGCAAAACAGAAGTCATAGGAAGGTTGGAAGACAATTCTTTAAAAAAACTCAGTTTACATTTATTTCAGTTTACTTCTGATCAACAGTGTGTGGGAACTAGCTAGCATCTCTTAAAAATTTTATGATACAGATACAGACATTTCCAGTTATAGGCTCTGTGGTGACATAGGTTGACACAAGGAACCCTTATATCTGTGCACTGACACAGACATATTGTGGGCAGCACAATAGGAAGGATCTCCTGCAACGTCTGGTAAACTGGAGTAGCCTGGTTTATGCCTGTCAGCTGACCAGAAGGGTTTTCTTCCTAAGTATTTGATTCCTTGAGCTTCTCGAATCAGGAAAAAGAAGGGAAAGGGGGTTTTGATGCAACACTTACATAAAAGTGCTTTTGGGTCCTGTTGATTTGTATCACAGTTTTCTTTTAATGAAACTTAATTTCCTTTCTAAAGAGGAATGTGCATTTTTAAATTTCAAAAATTCCATTCTCAACAAGAGGACTTATTTTGCTTTTATACCATGCACAAAATCCGTGTATTTTTTGGCTCGTCCCCAGACCCCGTTTGCTAGTAAGTGTTTTCCAGATGCATGCTATTTGCAGCAAACACATCAGCACTTGGGAACTAGGTGCCCTAAAGACCCAGAAGAACAAGAGCAAACTTGCAGGCGGTGGGGGGAGGTGGCTTGTAAGCAGCATATCTCCAGTTCTCAGCGCGCTCAACACCAGCTGTGTGCTGGGAGGATGCAGAGATGACAGAAACACAGGGCCTGTCCCCCAGGGGTTCGTGGTCCAGCAGGACGAACAGTGATACAGGGAAGGCTGATAAAAGTGATGGTGCCCAGTGAAACCGGCGGAGGAGACCCAGAGGGGTGGCCTACAGGCCTTGAAGGCACAGCCTGCCCTTGGCAGGGCGGGGGGGCACCCTCCCTGGTCCTGGCACTCAGGCTCTGATCCAAGAGCCACCGCAGACACGCTCGGCGCAGACAGCATCCCTCAGGCCTGGTTCCCTCCAACACTTGTCAACATAAAGGTCACTTGTTCCCTCTGGGGCAGATGTGAATTTGAGACGGACGAGCTGAAGGACAGCAGACAGCTGGGAAAAGCGAGTGCTCCCTGTCCTGCTGAGGGTCCCAGCTCCTCCTCCTGGAATCAGGGAACTGAAGTTGCACACAGGTACACATGTGTGCACATACCACCATTTCCTGGCTCCCGCCCTCACCAAGCTGACTGTCACCTAGGCAGATTTCACATGTGTTCCAAGAAGATCTGTGCAGGAATAGGGGTGGGAACCTGTACCCAACCCTTGGCTCACCTGGAGCAGCCCTTTTTTCATCTGCTTTTTCAGTTCTGCATGAGAGCTTCTTCTTTAACAAAATTGTTCTAAGCCACAGCCCTCGACCTAACTTTAAAAAAAAAAAAAACAAAAACTGCACACTGTTGTTTCTGGACGACCATACCTGGCCCTCGGGGAAGTTAGCCATCATGGGAGAACACGGGGTGTTCCGAAGCCCATCCTTCCGGGGCATGCTCAGCTCCACTTTGGCAGAGTGACTTTGTTCCATAATTTTTCTCAGATTAGATGGTTTGCTCCAGGCTAGACCTGGTCATGGGCCTTTCGATTGAATGTTGGCATTTCCTTTCAGCATCCCGGCCGGAGAGCTTGGAGAGCAGTAGAAATGCATCCAGCAACAGCTCACCTCTTAACCTGAAAGGTGAGCCGGCCCTCCTTCTGGGCACTCTGCAGTGTCTGTGAGTCTTTGTGTTTATATTATATTTATAAGTTTTAACATACAGTTCCCCAAGATCTTCCATACGTTCGGCATTCATTGCATTCCAAGGCCACATCACGTGGTTTCAAGTGCAGGCCAGGAGTTTAAATGGATTTTAGTTCAAATCCCTTCACCCCCACTGACAGAATCTGGGCACCTAGGCGAGTCACCCACCCTCTGAATCCAAGTTACTTCATCTTTAGAAGGGATCGTGACACTAGTTCCATTCCACTGTGGTCAGAGAACAGAGTGGCTTTGATTCTCAGGGTTTTTTTAAGTTGATTTTATAGTGCAAAATATAGTCTGTCTTAATGAATGTTTCCTGTACGTCTGAAAAGAATGTGTTTGTTGTCCCAGGGCCATAAACTCTTACACAGGTTTTTTTCACTTCTTAGTGTCCACATGACCATCTGGCATATAGCAAGTACTCAATAAAACTTTTAAATATATGAATGGATGAGAGCTAATGAGTGTGGTGAAAGAAAGTGAAAGTCGCTCAGTCATGTCCAGTTCTTTGCAACCCCATGGACTATACAGTCCATGGCATTCTCCTGGCCAGAATGCTGGAGTGGGTAGCTGTTCCCTTCTTCAAGGGATCTTCCCAACCCAGGGATCGAACCCTGGTCTCCTGCATGGCAGGTGGATTCTTTACCAGCTGAGCCACCCAGGACCTTAGCACTACTAACAGTTTGAACTTTAGCAGAAACTTTCCATGTTTATCTCAAATTATTTTGTTCCGAATTCTAAGCATCCCAGAGTGTTCTTCACGTGGAGAATCCCAGCGTGGGAGAAGTGTGCCCTGGGTTCTCGGGCAGGGTCCTCTTCTAGGTGGGCGGCAGGCAGCATGGAGCCCACTGGAGGCAGAGGGGAACTAATGTGTGCTGTGTCGCCTGCCCTGACCCCAGGTTCCTCCGACCACCTCCACGGCAGATCCGAGAGCTTCAGCAGCGAAGACCTGATCCCCAGCAGGGACACGGCCACTCTGCCACGGGATGCCAGCACCCCGGGGCGCCCCACCCTCGGCCGCCATGAGTACCCCCCACCGCGGAACGGGCCTCTCCCCCAGGAGGGCATCCAGAAGAGGAGCGCAGCCCAGCCCCACGGCGGGGTGCGGCCCTGCTCCACCTCCCCAAGCAGCGAGATGGTCACCCTGGAGGAGTTCCTGGAGGAGAGCAATCGGGACTCCCCATCCCCTGTGAGTGGCCCTGGGGCTCAAAGGGACACAACGGGTCCATCATCCCTTGCACACTCCCTGGATTGGGATAGCAGGCGGAAACTGGCAGCAGAGATACAGGGATGGTGTGGGGGGCAGCCTAGGTGTGGGGCTCCTTGGATGGGGAGGAAGCCCACAAGCCTATAGATCCTGGGGCTGGCAGCCAGCCCCAGACCTTGGAGGCTGTTTGCTCCACCTGCGGAGTGAGTGGGCAGAGGCTGGTGCCAGCATGGAGGGCGGGGATGGTGTGTGCCCACCACTACGAGCTTCTTGAGAGATGTGCCCAGCACCCGCTCTGGAGTTAGCATCTCACCAGCTTTTGAGGCAGAGCTCTGCGTGCCCACTTCCCCTGAGCACTCACCAGCGGAGATCAGTTTCTTCTATAAAGAGCCAGAGAGTAAATATTTTAGGCTTCCCAGGCAGGACGGTCTCTGTTGCAGCCACTCAACGCTGCCATTTTAGTAGGAAAGCAGCTCTAGACCATCTGTCAGTGAATCAGCATGGCTGTGTTCCAATAAAACTTGACTTATGGACATAGCCGTTTGAATTTCATGCTGTTGTCTCATGTCCCAAAAGATTGTTCTTTAAAAAAAAAAGTTTTTTGCAATCATTTAAAAGTGTAAAAACTATGCTTAGCTCACAGGCCATACAAAAAAGGGCAGCACACTGGACCTGGCCCACAGCTCTGGGTTGCTAGCCTCTGTTCTACAGATCTAACCTAATACAGGTTAGATCTGTATCTAACCTGCAGCACCCCCTGTATTCTCTCCCATGTCACCTTTCCAGTCTCCATTTAGCTTTTCTGAAGCTGAGCATCTGTTTTTTTCACATGTGTGTATGTGCATAATTAGTTGTGTCTGACTCTTTGAGACCCTATGGACTGTAGCCCACCAGGCTCCTCTGTCCATGGGATTTTCCCAGCAAGAATACTGGAGTGGGTTGCCTTTTTTTTTTTTTGCATACGCTGTCTAAATTCAGTCCCATGAGCTATTGGGTTATTGAACAGATGGCTTATATACTGTCTTGTTGTTGTTTAGTCATTAAGTCATGTCTAACTCTTTGCAACCCATGAACTGCAGCACACCAGGCTTCACTGTCCTTCACTATCTCCTGGAGTTTGCTCAAATGCGTGTCCATTGAGTCAGTGATGCCATCCAACCATCTCATCCTCTGTCGCCTCCTTCTCCTCTTGCCCTCAGTATTTCCCAGCATCACAGTCTTTTCCATAATAGAAATCTTTTAAGGTTTAATGCTTTAGTGATTGCATCTCATTCCCTTAAATGAATACAGTTGAACTTTCTGTAGCCACATGGTAAACTCTGTGACCCACATTAATCCGTCACATTGACACAGAGAACACAAAATATTTGTCTTGGAGATATGTATTGAGCAGCTACTGTGTCTTAGGCAGTATGTATGGTGCCTGATCTCAAAAAAACAAAGCAAATGGGCCAATTTTTATCGCATACTTGCTAGGTGCTTGGTCTTGTGGTTGGTGCCAAAGAATTATAAAACATGGCCCCTCCCCTGTCTTCATTTATTTGTCTGTCAAACACTTACTGTGGGCTAGAAACTAGGGAAACCAAGCTGAGAAGGACCAAAACCTTGCCCTCTAGAAGTTTATGGTCTGACGCAGTGGCTCTTAAACTCTGGCGTTCATCAGACTCGCCTGGCAGGACACAGGCTGGACCCCTGGGCCAGGGATTCTGAGATTTTTGCATCTCTGCCGAGTTCCCAGATGGTGCTCTCACTGTCACTGGGAGTCCAGGCATCACAGGCTGAGGAGCACTGACCTGATGGAACAAACGAGAAAAGTCCAGAAATCGAGGGTGCCTGCAGTTGGATCTCTCTTCTACTCAATCCATTTCTGACTGTGTGCCTGTCCCAGTGGGTGTCCTATTCCTGGGCAGATCTCAGGGGTCAGGTCCCCTTGCTCACAAGGGGCACAGCCCCTCAGCACTCAGCTTAGACCTATCCAGACACTGTCGCTCAGGCTGCTGTCAGCACATGTGCCTTTTCAGCCTAAACGAGGCCAAAGCTGTCTCACTGCAGCAGTTTCTTTTGGAAGCTGATGCTCAGCCTCTGAGAGCCACCTTCTTCCCCCTCCATCGGCCCAGGTGCTCACCCCACGAGCCCCACCTGACACTTCTATCTTCCCCCGGTCAGGCCTAGAGAAGCCACCCATGCCTCCACTCCCCGAGTGCTGGTGATGCTGGGAGACCAGGGTCACACGGTGGGCTCCCTGGGTGGCCTCCTGAAAGTAGTGATGAAGAGGCTAATTAGAAACGTGCAGAAAGGGGCCAGGAGGTAGAGCAGACAGCTCCAGAGTCAAACAGCCGTAGGTTCTAATCCTCAGTCTCCATTCTTCAGATGCCTAATCTCTGTGACCTCAGTTTTCTTACATATTTGTTGTTGTTTAGTCACAAAGTCGTGTCCAACTCTTTGCCTCCCCATAGACTATAGCCTGCCAGGCTCCTCCATCCATGGGGTTTCCCAGGCAAGAATACTGGAGTGGATTGCCATTTCCTACTCCAGGGCATCTTCCCGACCCAGGGATCAAACCTACGTCTCCTGCATTGGCAGGCGGATTCTTTACCACTTACTGAGCCACCTGGGAAGTCCTTTCTTACATGTTAAGTGATGTTTTAATACAACCTTAAACAACTCTTGTACAAGGTTGCTTTCAAATTTAAACTGAGTTTTTTGGATTACATCCCTGGTTCCCAGCACGTTGCCTGACATGTGGGAAGTACTTGATAAATAGATGGTTCTTGTCCATATTGATGACCCAGGGTCTTACTGCACACACACACCCAAGAGTAAGGCTTCAAGCTAACGTGAAACAGCAGAGTGTACCTCTGTCAAGTTGAGCATCCACATGTTTTCAGGGGCCAGGAGTTGTCAGGTGGTTCCTGAGCTGCTGACCCATCCTGCAAGCTGACTCCCTCCCTCCCAGCAGGCTGGGGTCTGATTGCAGCAGCTCTCGGCCCTGACCTTTCCCCTGCTCCATCCCCAGCCTCAGGAGAACCGTCTAGCTGGGATCCTCTAGGCTGGGAGGTGCTGGCAAAAGGCTGAATTTGACCTGAACAGGCCCACTGAGCTTGTTGGCTCCAGGGGCTCCGCCTGCCCCGAGGATGGTGACAAAGGACACTGGTTCCCTGGCCAGGGGAAGCCCGGGTGGCGACTCTCTGGCACGGGGGATATTCTGGAGGGCTAGGCTGCCTCTGCCTTCTCCTGGACCTCTCTGGTTCCCTCTGCCCTCCTCTGCCCCTTGTGCCTGCCTATCCCCTTCCTCCCATTAGGAGAAAGATCTGAGAGGCAGTGAGCAGTGTGGTTGGTTCTGGCTTCTGCAGAGCTGGCCTTGTTTCTCTGCCTCTCTGTGGCCCACTGGAAGGCACTTGCAGCGTGTCGGAGCCTGGTGGGCTGACAAAGAAGGTCCAGTCCTGTCCGTCAGCTTTCTGCTGCCTGGAAACCCAGGTCGAAACGGTTGTCCCGATCCTTTCATAAAATGGATGAGCTTGGTGGGTTTCCTCTCTGGGTCTTTCTTGCTTGTGAAGTTAGGACTGAGTGATACCTGGGCCTGCTCCCTAATGATCCTCGTATTGCCTCGACCCCCACCCCCCACCCGACCGGGGCAGTGTGTGCAGTGGGGACATTAGGCCTTCAACAGGCGAAGCAAGAAACTTCAGTCCCAGCCGTGTGGGCAACACAGGGGACATCCCGGGTGGGCGGAGGGACCTCCAAGGACCCCCCCACCCCCAGACTCATTCAGTTCTTCTCTTTCCTGTAGGGCGCTCCCTGCTGCCGGGATGACCTGCTCAGTGATTACTTCAGAAAGGCCGGTGATCTCCCGTCCGTTGGAGGCCAGCCAGGCCCACCGCCCAGGAAAGAAGGGGCCAAGGTGCCCACCAGCTTTGTGGCCCCCACCATCAAGATGCCCGTCTCCACCTCCGAGGGAAAGCCGCTGAAGCCTGGGCAGTATGTAAAGCCGAACTTCAGAGCCGCTGAGGCCGAGGCTGCGCCCAGTGTCCCCCAGAGGCAGGCCCAGCCACCCCAGAGCCTGTCCCTGGGCAGAGCCCGGCAGGCCACGATGCCCCCCGCTTCCCACACGCCTGCCGGCCGGAGTGCATCCCTAAACCGGGCCTTCAGTCTGGCCTCCGCTGACCTTCTCCGGGCCAGCGGGCCAGAGGCCTGCAAACAGGAGCTGGCAGGTCCCGAGGCCTCAGGGGGCAGAGACCCAGGCAGCCACAACCTGCAGAGCTCCACCGCCCCCGGCTCCCACGGCCTGGCCCGCGAGCGGACCCCGCTTGTGGGAAAGACTGGCGGCTCCTGTCAGGGCCCCGGCCCCCGAAGCCGGCCACTGGACCTGAGGCGCTTCTCACTGGCTCCCCCAAAGGAGGAGAGGCCGGCCCCCCTGCAGCAATCTGCCACGTCCCCAGCCATCGCCACTGGAGGTGGTGGCGGCAGCAGCTCGCAGCTCCAGCACTTCTCACCCACTGCAGCCCAGGCAGCCAGGACTAAGCCCCAAGCCCCCCTGCACCCGGGGGAGGTGGCCACCATCCCCCCCGTCCGAGGAGGGCTCAGCCCCTCGGAAGGGGATGGGGTCCCGGGGCAGGGTCACAGCGAGGGCCTCCCTGCTAAGGGCCCGGGCAGGTCTCCGGACCTGGCTCCCCAGGGCAGCCGGGCCCCTGAGGACTTCGGGCGTGGGAGCAGCTCCAAGAGCACGCCGGTGTCCCCCGAGCCGGGAGGGGACCAGCAGACGGTGTGGTACGAGTACGGCTGCGTGTGACCTGGCTCCTGGACGGCACCTGCTGATCACCAAGGCCTTTTCCCTGTCTGCCTGCGGCGCCAGGAAAGGGTTTGAGAGAGGAGGAGAGGGTTCCCGTGCGTGTCTTCTGTTCTGTTGCTAAAAATGCTGTGCCAAGGCCTGAGAGGGTTGCACCCTGTTGGTGTGCAGCCTGTCTTCTGTATCTGTAGCCTCCAGCAGCCGGTATCTTTTGAACAAATCCACTTTGGCATGGGGACACTCAGAACGCAGTGACGAGGCAGCCCCCGAAGCAGACACTATTTGAGCGCGCCCCCATAGAACACTTTTGTTTGCAACTTGCTGACCTCCACTGAAGCACGTGTGTATCTGGGCGTGTGCACACACACGTATACACATTCCCAGGGCTGAGCCCTGGTGGGTCTGGAAACTCTATTTCCCAAAGCTGTTTGATCCCAGGAGAAGCCCCCACTGGCCAAACTACAAAAATCTGGAGTCTGTGGGTGGACCCCAGAGGCGGGCTCACTGTCATGCCATTGTGGGGTCCTGAGCGCTTCTCTTCACCCCAGAGCCAAAGCGGCTCTCCAGGTAGGTGGGGGTGGGCTCAGACATTTGCCTCCCCCTGCTGGAGCCAGCTCCTGGGCTCTGCAGGTTGGGCTCCCGGGCCATACAGCCACCTGCCTTCCCTGCTCACTTTTCTACAAACACTGGATCTGCTGGTCCGGGGGAGGGGCAGGAAGAAACCCCTGCCCCAGCCCCCCACCCAGCAAGTGTATATAGTGTAAAGAGGGGAGGCGTGTGCAGCAGTGAGGTGCACCTCGATTTATACCGTGGCTGCAGCACCCCGACCTCCCCGTCTCAGGTGAGATGTTGATTCATTATTTCTGAGTAAACTTCTCATGGTAGAAACCAAATTTCCTTTAATATATTACTATGTATGTACACACCCATGTGAAATGTATGTACTTTGAGGGGAATCTATTTATGTTCCGTTGGGAGTCATTCTTTCCTATTAGGAATCTCACCTGCTGCTTCATCTCTTTGGTCAGATTCCTGGCACGTTTTATTTCCTGTTGTTTAGTAAAGGTGCTTTTTCTGGGATGTACTAAACCTGGTGATTTTTTTTTTTCCTTTAGATTCGATATACTGAGAAAGAAATGGGAAGTTAAGATCGCTTTTCAGAGTGCTTTGGGTTGTTTATTAGAAAGCCATTCATTCTGGAACCCAGGACAGGATTGTAATAAAAGGACATGGACCAGTACTGAGTCCTAGTTTTCCTCACCATTCATCATGGCATCATTGACCAGGCGCTGGGAGCTCAGGGTCCCTGCCTTAGCACTGGCCACTGGAATCTACTGGCCACTAGGTCAGAGAATGTGGAAAGCAAGGTTTTTCTCTTTACAGCAGCTTTTTTTTTTTCCCCCCAGACTTGAATTTTATTTTAACTTAGTGTAAATTGAGTCCAATTTCAATTTGGAATTTGTGTCTGGCAGGAGCTCAGCTTAAAATGGTCCTTTGGATGTTCCCAAGGCTACCTAACTAGAAAGTACCAGACCTGCAATTTAGACCTTGGAAGCCTCAGATCGGATGCTTAAATCAGATGGATGGATATGAGGGGGTGGACGTCAGAAGGAAGGATGGTGTATAAATATCCATACATCAAACTTTTCCAGTAGATTTCTGTCCAGCTGCTGCCTCAGTGTCTCCTTTCCTTTTTCACCAGACTTCTTTAAGAGGATCTCCTCTCAGGACTTCCCCAGCGGTCCAGTAGTTAAGACTCCAAGCGTCCAATGCAGGGGGTGCAGGTTCGATCCCTGTTCAGGGAACTAAGAACCCACATGCCTCTTGGTGTGGCCAAAAAATAAAATCAGACAAAGGGTCTCCTCTTGTCTCTTTGCCCATTCTTTCCCCAGCCTCTGTGATCTGTGCATCTGACCACTCTGCAGAGCTACCTCTAGCATATGAACAGTGGCCACCTTGCAGGCTTCGTGCCATGTAGCCTGGCCAGTCACCCCTTGGAATCCTCTCTCTGTCTCCCAATTCTCCCCACTGTGGTGTGGCTCTTCAGCGCTGACTTGCTAACCCCTCATTCATTCACTTATTCCTTCCACAGAGGTTCACTGGAAGCTTCCTGTGTCCCAAGTCCTAGGCTCCGCCTTCCAGACCTCTTCCCCCTTGAACCCTTTCAGCGCTGGCCCCCAGCCCCACTCCAAGTGCTCACTGCCCCTCAGAGCCCCCGCCTGGACACCAGGCGACACCAAGCTGTCACACCAGCATAGCCCTCTTGTGATGTGGGCCTGACCGCTCATCTCTTCACATCCCATGTTTCACGGATCATGTCCTGCACCTGAGAGTGCCTGTGGGCTCTGGTGTCCTCGTCTTAGCCAGCTATTCTCACCCTAGGTCATACACACACACCCCTGACCCTGGGTGTTGGCGGGAGCCTGCCAGCTTGTCTGCCAGCCTCAGACAGCTCAGCCCTCATAGCACCTCAGGACATTCACCCCAGGTGACCGCCACACCTGCCACACCCAGCCCTTTGTGGTTTGGTTGGCCCTTGGGCTCACCTCGAGGCGCACCCAGCCCTCTTCTCACTACCTCCTTTAGCCCCAGACAAGTTCATACACATCCACAACTTTCATTCCAATCTGTTCGCAGAGGCTCCAAACTTCCCTCCAGTCCCAACCTCTCGCCGGAAACCTCCAGATCTGTTCTCTGCTGGAAAGTCCCAAGACACTGCCAACTCAAAGTGCTCAACACACAATTCCCTGTCCTCCCCCATCTCGTCCCTCCAGACAGCCTTTGATGCCCCCCTCTCTTCCCCATACCCTATCCATCACTCCATCAGTTGGCTCCACACCTCACTCATACACTGCCAGCCCCAGGGGATGGTCCTCTGGACGGTACCCTGGGCCCTGTTGCTGAGGGGGGCACCGCAGATTATGCTGCTTCTGTGCTCCCAGGCCCCACCCTCTCTGCACTGGCCTGGGAGACATGTGACCAAGTGTCTGGGAAATATCCAAGTGGCCACTGGATTTTCATGCCCACTGTTGCCTGGAGGGAGACTTGGGATCATCTGTGGCCCTCCCAGGTGGCGCTAGTGATAAATGCAGGAGACACAAGAGATAAATGCCAATGCAGGAGATGCAAGAGACACAGGTTCGATCCCTGGGTCAGAAAGATCCCCTGGAGGAGGGCATGGCAACCCACTCCAGTACTCTTTGCTGGAGAATCCCATGGACTGAGGAGCTACAGTCCATAGGGTCACAAAGAACCGGACATGACTGAAGTGACTTAGCATGCATGCACGTGGGACAAAGGGCTACCCTGTGGAATACATTAAAGTGAAAAAATGAGAAAGCATAGGGCAAACCTTAGGAAGCACCAGCCAACATTAAACATCCAGCCAAAATATTTATCAACCAACCAGGGTGAGGGAATATACATACACATGCACATATTTACAGATATAAAGGACTATGTATGACACATAATTTACAAATAAACTATATATAAAATACATACTTTTATTATAAAATCCATACAGTCAATGGATTCTCTTAGAATGCTCTCACTGATTTTTGCCAAGCCTATGTATTTATAGCCATCCCATGCCTGCAAGAGATGAGTGAGTGTAGTTCCAATGTGAATGTCAGTTGATGTTTTATGTTAGCAAGTAAGATGAAAGTGAAACACGCCAAAGATGTATATCAGAACTTCACTCACTGATGACATGAGCAATTGCTCAGTCAGGTAGTAGTTGCTGAACGCTGGCCAAATTTCCTCAATTTTTTTGTGCTGCTCACATTGTGATGGCTTACAGACATAACACATTAAAAAAAAAAAAAGAAATACAGTCTACATACTATATTCACCCAATACACCTCTAAATTTAATCTGTACTATTCACATTTTCCCTATCACTTTCTCAATCAAGTCTAGAGAGTCTAGACACTGCAGAAGACATAAATCAAGCCCTGATTGGTAACACTTGCCAATTTCCATGGCGGAAATACTCTGGCCATGGCCGATTTCAAGCTGCACCCATGGTGTCACTAACCACAGGTGGAAGGAGACGTGGTGTACCCTGTAATATATTGCCTCCATGCAGATGGAAACAGGTGCAAATAACCTGAAAAGCACAGGTAACAAAGAGTAAAACAAGAAGAGGCACATTTTGAGTGTTTATTACTATGGTTTTTTAACATAAATTACTTGCAGATTTACATAAACTCGTTTTTAAGGATGGCCATGTTTAACAACTGGCTTGGAAAATTCTGGGAAATTCACTAACCTGCTCTCACAAGCTAGTGCAGGTTGGCTGCAACGCACCACTGGGAGCACCGCCTTTTAGGGCTGGGCTGAAAAACAGATGAGACAGAACCACTGAGAAGAAGGGGCCAGGAAGCAGGAACATCCGAGAGAAGAGCAGCTGGTGTGCAGAGCTGACCGTCCTGGCAGACGCAGGTGTGCGCAGCGTTCCTCCGCACAACACACAGAGGCCACTCGGGTCAAGGCTGGAGGCTGCCTCCATCTTCTCATTTCTTCCATTCTCTCTTCTTGCCCTTCTCCATGGAGCTAGGGCAGGAGGAGTGGGCCTGGGGAGGCTGACAGCGTGGGGGACCTCTCCCTCTGTAAAGGGCGGGGGGGGTGGGGAGAGTGGGCAACAGGAAGTCGGGCAGGAGCCCGGGGGTGGGGAGTGGGGGAAGGGAGGGTCCTGGAGGGCCTGGGAGGGACCTGGGAAGAGGTGGGGGTCGGGGCAGGGCTCAGAAATGCCCTCCCCTTCCCAAGCTCGGGCTTTGGGGCCCAGCCCACCGAGGTCAAGTTCACCAAGTCACACGACACACGCAGCTTGAGCTCTGGCAGAAGCAAACGGGCCACCTGCTCCCCACTGCCCCTCCCCGCAAGAGACCCCAAATAAGCAGGTGGAGGAGAAGCCTCCGGGCCCCTCCGCGTTCCCCACGGGAGAGCAATGGCCCTGAGGAGCCCTCCTGGAAGCCGCACCCTGCCCTGGCCGCCCCGGC